TGTCGGTGGCTAGATGGAAGAAAATGTAGCATACAGGTTCGAGACATCACAAGAATTGAAATCTTTATGCATTACTGCTGCTATAATTAATTGTTACAATTAATCCTCTGTACTTTTATTAACCCTTTGACTATCGCAAGCCCATTTCTGAAACTGTCATTCTATGTCGCAAAATTTTTTTGAAAAAAAAAAAAAAAAAAAAAAAAAAAAAAAAAAAAAAAAATCTTATGAAATGATAGAGAATCTTTTCCTGATGCTAATGACACCAGAAGTTCGAACTTTGATTGAAAACTTACGGAATTATGTTCCCGCGAAGTTAGCAATCTCGGCAATTTCGCCGACCTTGAGCCCTATTTTCGGCCAATTCCATTGTTCCAGTCAACCAAACTCATAGCTATTTCTTTAGAACTATATTTTTTCTATCAATTGAGTACAAGAAACCACCCATTTACTGGTTTCAACTACCCAATAAAGTGGTCAGAAATTGGCAATTTGGCCAATTTCATACAATTTAAAAAAGATGCCAATTTCAAAATAGGGTCCAGAATAAACAATGCAGACATTCTTGGCACTAAAATAACATATCCTCTGTTCATTAGCTACATCTCCAGGCCCCTCTTACTTTCTATTTTTATTTTTTATTCACACAAAAAATAAAAGATTTACTGTTATGCAGACTACTGAATTATTGTAAAAATGGTACAAATAATATCAGTGCACTAGTGAAAGAACATTAGACTCCCCAGTTGATGTGTATTGGACGTGTGGTGTGATTTTCTTACTCTTGAACATTGGTAAGAATCGAACATTTCCGCTACTTTGAGCTCAATTTCAAGGTCGTTTTTATCTCTATTTCTGTAATATGTTTTCCATTCTATCAAATGAGACCAAGAAAAGAAGAATACAACCATAAATACTATACGAAAATACACCTCAAAGTCGGCGTTTTAATCCAAAATTTTTTTTTTTTTCTCATTATGCACTGTGCGCTGCAGGATTTTTTTTTATACAGTGCACACTGACCACACAGACCCATTCTCTCACATGTGGGCCTACCAGCTTTCTCCTGCTTGATTTGAAGCCACTAGAATTATTGAGTACATATAAATACATCCGAAACACTGGCTCGTAAGACGTATATATATGGCCGAAACAGTCAAAGGGTTAATTATTATTACTGTATTAAAAATTTCATATACTTGTAGCTTCACTACAGTGTAATCTCTTTTACTTTAAAGTGATAATTTATTAACTTGCAGGAACATCAAACAAAACTGTACTGCAAGCAGGATGATAAGGTACAGTATACTGAAATGACAATACATATTAGTGATTGTTTAAACTCATATAATGTATAAATTAATTCTAAACTACACTGTACATGCATTTAATAATGCAAGTGTTCTCTAGTTAAACTACTTACTAGTAACAAATACACTTAACTTGTATTCTATTTGTTTCAGCCACATACATATGATAATCTGCCTACTGTCAATTAGTCTTTTTCCACAAAAATGAGCTGTTTCTTCAAGTAAAACTTCAAATAATTTTCTATAATGATAATAATAATAATCCTCTCTCCTATCATGAATATTTCCAGTTTACAGTCCTAGATGCATTTTTCTGAAATATGATAGTTTAATCTTTAGACACCTATCACATTTTCTTTGCTCAATTTACAATAGGTTTTCAGTACACATGTTCAAACATATCTACATTAATTCTGGGGGCCAGCTTTTATTTAACTTCTATCAGTAGGGTACCTTAATTTTTATTTATTTTTGACATCAGGCATTTCCCACGATGTTAGATTGACCCAGAGGGGGAAAACAAACACACACACACACACACACAACAAACACACACACACACACACACACACACACAACAGCAGGAGGCCAAGGCAAGAGTATGACGAGAGCAATAGAGCGATGGTTGACACACTGGCTGCAGTGGCCAGAAGAGCTCATGCATGCAGGGCAAAGCTCAAGATCATGGGCAATTTTAACCACAAGGAGATCGATTGGGAGAACTTGGAGCCACATAGGGCCAAGACACATGGAGGGCTAAGATGATGGAGGTGGTACTGGAAAATTTCATGCACCAACACATAAGGGATACTACAAGGAGAGAGAGAGAGAGAGGAGAGGATGAACCAGCAAGACTGGACCTAGTATTCACCTTGAGTAGTGCAGATATTGAGGACATCACATATGAAAGACCCCTTGGGGCCAGCGATCATGTGGTTTTAAGCTTCAAATACACAGTAGAGCTACAAGTGGAGGGGGAAGCAGGAAGGCCAGGATGAATGAAGCCAAACTACAAGAAAGGGGACTACACGGGAATGAGGAACTTCCTGAATGGGGTTCAGTGGGACAGAGAACTGGCAGGGAAGCCAGTTAATGAGATGATGGAATATGTAGCAACAATGAGCAAGGAGGCTGAGGAGAGGTTTGTACCCAAGGGTAACAGGACTAATGAAAAAGTCAGGATGAGCCCATGGTTCACCCAAAGGTGCAGGGAGGCAAAAACCAAGTATGCTAGGGAATGGAAGAAATATAGAAGGCAAAGGACCCAGGAGAATAAGGAGAGCAGTCATAGAACCAGAAATGAATATGCACAGATAAGAAGGGAGGTCCAACGACAATATGAAAATGGCATAGCAGCGAAAGCCAAATCTGACCCGAAGCTGTTATACAGCCACATCAGGAGGAAAACAACAGTCAAGGACCAGGTAATCAGGCTAAGGAAGGAAGGAGGAAAGACAACAAGAAATGACTGTGAAGTATGTGAGGAACTCAACAAGAGATTTAAAGTGGTGTTCACAGAAGAGACAGAAGGGGCTCCAGAAAGACGAAGAGGTGGGGCACACCACCAAGTGCTGGACACAGTACACACAACCAAGGAAGAAGTGAAGAGGCTTCTGAGTGAGCTAGATACCTCAAAGGCAATGGGGCCGGATAACATCTCTCCATGGGTCCTGAGAGAGGGAGCAGAGGCGCCATGTGTACCCCTAACAACAATATTCAATACATCTACAAAACAGGGAGATTGCCTGAAGCATGGAAGACAGCAAATGTAGTCCCAATCTTTAAAAAAGGAGACAGACATGAAGCACTAAACTACAGACCAGTGTCACTGACATGTATAGTATGCAAAGTCATGGAGAAGATTATCAGAAGAGTGGTGGATCACCTAGAAAGGAATGATCTCATCAACAGCAGCCAACATGGTTTCTGGGATGGGAAATCCTGTGTCACACACCTACTGGAGTTCTATGACATGGTGACAGCAGTAAGACAAGAGAGAGGGGTGGGTGGATTGCATTTTCTTGGACTGCAAGAAGGCGTTTGACCCAGTTCCACACAAGAGATTAGTGCAAAAACTGGAGGACCAAGCAGGGATAACAGGGAAGGCACTACAATGGATCAGGAATACTTGTCAGGAAGACAGCAGTGAGTCATGGTATGTGGCGAGGTGTCAGAGTGGGCACCTGTGACCAGCGGGGTCCCGCAGGGGTCAGTCCTAGGACCAGTGCTGTTTCTGGTATTTGTGAACGACATGACGGAAGGAATAGACTCCGAAGTGTCCCTGTTTGCAGATGACGTGAAGTTGATGAGAAGAATTCATTCGATCGAAGACCAGGCAGACCTACAAAGGGATCTGAACAGGCTGCAGACCTGGTCCAGCAATTCGCTCCTGGAGTTCAACCTCACCAAGTGCAAAGTCATGAAGACTGGGGATGGGCAAATAAGACTGCAGACGGAGTACAGTCTAGGGGGCCAGAGACTACAAAACTCACTCAAGGAAAAAGATCTTGGGGCGAGTGTAACACCAGGCACATCTCCTAAAGCGCACATCAACCAAATAACTGCTGCAGCATATGGGCGCCTAGCAAACCTCAGAACAGCATTCTGACATCTTAATAAAGAATCGTTCAGGACCCTGTACACCATGTACGTTAGGCCCATATTGGAGTATGCGGCACCAGTTTGGAACCCACACCTAGCCAAGCACGTAAAGAAACTAGAGAAGTGCAAAGGTTTGCAACAAGACTAGTTCCAGAGCTAAGAGGCATGTCCTATGAGGAGAGGTTAAGGGAAATCAATCTGACGACACTGGAGAACAGGAAAGATAGGGGGGACATGATAACGACATACAAAATACTGAGAGGAATTGACAAGGTGAACAAAGACAGGATGTTCTAGAGATGGGACACAGCAACAAGAGGACACAGTTGGAAGTTGAAGACACAGATGAATCACAGGGATGTTAGGAAGTATTTCTTCAGCCACAGAGTAGTCAGGCAGTGGAATAGTTTGGGAAGCGATGTAGTGGAGGCAGGATCCATACATAGCTTTAAGCAGAGGTATAATAAAGCTCATGCTTCAGGGGGAGTGACCTAGTAGCGACCAGTGAAGAGGCGGGGCCAGGAGCTTGGACTCGACCCCTGCAACCTCAACTAGGTGAGTACAACTAGGCGAGTACATACATACATACATTCGATCCCCTGCAACCACATATAGATGAGCATATACAAAGCATTTTTACTAATACATGATGAATCCAACAAAAACTTACCGCTATGTTGTATTCCTCTGGTACATTGATACTAAACACAAAAACACCGCCTGACCAATAACCTTCAGGTGGGGACACAACTAGACGAAACGAGTGTAGGGTGTCTGGGTCCTCAAATTTTGCAACGCATCCCTCTGGAAGATTGCTTTCCATTTCGCTAACCTGTTTTTAGGGAGATAATATCTGATATCGTGTTAGTCCGCAATGCAATGGTTCAGAATGAAAACTATGTCTTTATGAACTAAATGTTATTGCTGGTACTTTTAGGTATTTTATTTATATAGGTATTTCATAATTAACAGATGGTTTTCATAACTGAATAAACTAGATGTAATTTTTTGCTTCACGATTTGAGAAAAGTATCCCCAAATTCCTTAACAGCTGCCTCTAACTCAATACGTGCAAAAGGAATAGTGCTGGGCAGTGGTAAAATTTTAATGCAGCAAAATACAGTAGTTCCCCCCCTGTATCCATGGGGAATACATTCCAAGACCTACTGTGGATACCCAAAACCATGGATAGTTGTGAACCCTATACATAATTTTTTTTTTTTTTTTTACATACATACATACCTTTGGAGTCTGTGGGGACAAAGAACTTTGTCCTTGGAGGCAAAGAGGGGAATGTATGAGAGTATAGTTTTACCAACGCTCTTATATGGGTGTGAAGCATGGGTGATGAATGTTGCAGCGAGGAGAAGGCTGGAGGCAGTGGAGATGTCATGTCTGAGGGCAATGTGTGGTGTGAATATAATGCAGAGAATTCGTAGTTTGGAAGTTAGGAGGAGGCGCGGGATTACCAAAACTGTTGTCCAGAGGGCTGAGGAAGGGTTGTTGAGGTGGTTCGGACATGTAGAGAGAATGGAGCGAAACAGAGTGACTTCAAGAGTGTATCAGTCTGTAGTGGAAGGAAGGCGGGGTAGGGGTTGGCCTAGGAAAGGTTGGAGGGAGGGGGTAAAGGAGGTTTTGTGTGTGAGGGGCTTGGACTTCCAGCAGGCATGCGTGAGCGTGTTTGATAGGAGTGAATGGAGACAAATGGTTTTTAATACTTAACGTGCTGTTGGAGTGTGAGCAAAGTATCATTTATGAAGGGGTTCAGGGAAACCGCAGGCCGGACTTGAGTCCTGGAGATGGGAAGTACAGTGCCTGCGCTCTGAAGGAGGGGTGTTAATGTTGCAGTTTAAACTGTAGTGTAAAGCACCCTTCTGGCAAGACAGTGATGAAGTGAATGATGGTGAAAGTTTTTCTTTTTCGGGCCACCCTGCCTTGGTGGGAATCGGCCAGTGTGATAATAAAATAATAACATACCTTTGATAAAGTTTAACTGATAAATTGAACACAATAAATGGAGAATTAGCACTTTTTCACTGATGGGAAGCACTTCACAGTTTCTCGAAGGCTTTGAAGAAGTGCCACTATCACTACTTTCGTGCTCTGTGGCCATTATTACCTTTTCAGGGTCCCCAGGCCCTCTCCCAGACTTGTTCTCAGGGTTGCCCATATTTCAAAAAAAAAAAAAAAAAAAAAAAAAATTCTTATGAAAAGATAAGAGAATCTTTTCCCGATCATAATGACATCAAAAGTACGAAATTTGATGGAAAATTTATGGAATTATGCTCTTGCAAAGTTAGCAGTCTCGACGATGTTTATGCATCAGCGATTTTGCCCACTTTGAGCCCTATTTTCGGCCAATTCCAGTGTACTAGTTGATAAAAATCATAACTATTTCACTAGAACTCCATTTTTTCTACCGAATGAGTACAAAAAACCACCCATTTACTAATTTCAACTATCCAATACAATGGTCAGAATTTAGCAATTTTGCCTATTTCACACAAATTTCAAAAGACGCCAATTTCCGAATAGGGTCCAGAATAGATTTTAATTACAAAGGCATTTCGCGACCTGGCTGCCAGGGAGTGTGGACGTGCCTTGCACCTCTCTCCTGACAGTCTAGCAAGCTAACCAGTGACGTCATGGCAGTTAGCGTGCGGAGGCGGGTGAATACCATTGGTATCGAGCTTATTCGGGGGGCGATTACGCCTGAGAATACACAGGTATTGCTACCCAAGATTATTCGTGACACTTATGGTATTAAGACCAAGGATTTGTACGGTGTGGCTTTAAATGGCGCCTACCGGATATTTGTGAAACTACTCAAGGGGCCAGTGTATGAGGAGCTGGTTGAGCAGTTTCAAGATATCTGCGTGGACGTGTCCCCTGCAGTGCGTGTGCATATGGCGGATGTCTCACGACAATACACGTGGGTAAAACTGCGCAACGTGCCCTTCGAGGCCGATGCAATGGATCTACGCGGTGTTTTCAGCAGATACGGAGTGGTACACATGGCAAAACACGGCAAGTGGGAGGCTGGGGAGTATGCTGGTCTCCACGAAGGTACGTTTACCCTTAAGATGTCTCTTCATCAGGCCATACCATCGTATGTGTACCTTAATGAATTCCGTACGCAGGTCATGGTGTCGTATGCTGGCCAACGACAGACGTGCCGTCTCTGCGGAGCCTATGATCATATGGCGGTAACACGTGGGCAGCGAGGGCAGGCCAGGCCGGCCGGTGCAGCAACAAATGACGTTGGGCATGAGGCTCCCATACATAGACGACAAGGAGCTGGTGGATGTGGTCGCCTTTGGAGTGAGGAGACTGAGGAGCCAGTGGTGGAGTCAGAATTGGAGCTGCCATCTCCCGAGTTGCCTACATCGCAGGTGGTAGAGAAGGATTTTGGGGAGGACCAGGTGACAGAAGAAGTGGAGGAATTGGATGCGACATTAGCGTCGGTTCTGCATAATATGTTCCTGTCTCTGGATGTGGTCTCCACGGCTGTGCCGTCGACCAGTCCGGAGCTCGTGTTCGGGGCAGTCGAGCAGCAGGAGGCCGTTGTTGGTGCTGGTGAGGTTGGCGGGGGCATGTCGACCTCTGGTCGGAAGGCATCGACGAAGGTGGTGGTGGAGGTTCATCATGTGGACACCCTGGTTGCACACATGGAGGCGGATGCTGGGACGAGGAAGAGGGCGGCAGCAATGTAGGACTCTGATGACGTCCTGACGCCGGCTCAACATCCAGGGAAGAGGGCATCGGTAGATGGGGGCCGGTGTGCTAGTGGAGGTGAGCAGCGGCAGCAGGTGGTGCCAGGTGGCACGGGTGTTGTGCGTGGAGAGCAAAGCAAACGTGGTCCCCTGGGCCCAGGTGGTCTCGCGAAAGTAGTAGTGGGGCAGCGAGGGAGGAAACCTTAGCTGCCAATAACCGGCAGTGCTGGTTAATGGCGTGTGTCTTGGGAAGCCAGTTTGCATGCGCCTTGAGGGCAGGGCATGTGCCCAGTATAGGATTATGCCACTGGTGTGAGTATGAAATTTGGACTATTATGTTATGTTGTAATATTATGGGGTGGGGTCTGTGTGGATTGAGTGTATTGTATATTATACCTATGTATTAACACTATAAAAATATGTAATGTATCAATGAGATAAGATGCTTTCATTTTCTTTGTATTTGTATGTTCGGTTGAGAATAGGTTTGGGTGAGTAGCGCAAAGGACGGGGGGGTGAGGCTTCCCACAGTTATGTGCTGGGGAGACTTTTAGTGATAGGTGTCTTTACCTGTAGTGAATTATTTATATGTGCTGAATGTTTCTAAGTTCGTGGTGATGTATTGATTGTTTTGCTATATATCTAAGCCATGACTGATGTTAGTACACTGTTCCAGCAGTACATGTATTGTGATTGTGTAATATACTGTGCTGGACGAGCAAGACAACTGTAATGTTCATGTATATGTATCATCATGTCTGTTACTAAAATAAAAAAAATAGGGTCCAGAATAAACAAGAAAGACATTCCTGGCACTAAAATAACATTTCCTCTGTTCATTAGTCACGTCCCCACGCCCCTCTTACATTCTTTTGCTTTCCACTTTGAATTTTTATTCTCACAAAAAATAGAATATTTACCGTTATGCAGACTACTGCATTAGTGTAGAAATGGTATAAATAATATTGGCGCACTTGTGAAAGAATATTAGACTCACCAGTTGATGTGTATTGGACGCTTAGCATGAACTTTGGTAAAAATCGAACATTTCTGCTACTTTGAGCTCAATTTCAAGGTACTTTTCATTGTAAAACCAGTCAAAAATCATCTCAATTTCTGTAATATGTCTTCCATTCTATACAATGAGACCAGGAAAACTACTAGAATAAAACAATAAATACCATACGAAAATGCAGTGCAAAGTCGCTGTTTTAATCCAAAAACATGGTCAATTTTTTTTTTCTCATTACGCACTGTGTGCTGCAGGATTTTTTTTATACTGCGCACAGTGACCACACAGACATATGTAGGCCTACCAGCTTTCTCTCACTAGATTTGAGGGCGCTAGAATTTAGGCGTACCAGTATGTCAAAAACCCTAGTGCGTAAGCCGTACTAGTACATCTGAAACCCTGAAAGGGTTAAGTAAAATTAAAGCTTATTTTCAGGCCATGGTAAACCATAGAAACCAAATCCACAGATATGGGAGCTCTACTGTATATAAATATGTAACTATGTATGCATGTGTGTATGCAAGCATGTATATACCCTTATGTATGCATACATTTGCATATGAGTCTGAATTGTATGCATTTATTAATGTACATTTTTCATATGTATGCATATGTATGTGCATATGCATGACTGCATGTATACTTGTGTGACTATCAATGTAAATTTTTGTAATGCATATGTATATGCATTAACCTATATGTGCATGTCTGTGCATTTTTGTGTTTATATGTGTGTGCATATGTATGAGCATATTTGTACACATACACATATGAATATGTGTGTACATATATACTTGATGTATACATATGCATATATAAGCATGTGCCTATGCATATATATATATATATATATATATATATATACAGTGGACCCCCAGTTAACGAACTTTTTTCATTCCAGTAGTATGTTCAGGTGCCAGTACTGACCGAATTTTTTCCCATAAGGAATATTGTGAAGTAGATTAGTCCATTTCAGACCCCCAAACATACACGTACAAACGCACTTACATAAATACACTTACATAATTGGTCGCATTTGGAGGTGATCGTTAAGCGGGGGTCCACTGTATATATATATATATAGGTACATGAATAGATGTGTATACATGTGTATGTATCCTTATGTGTATGTATCCTTGTGTGTGTGTCTATGTATGCATGTACTTATGTGTGCATGCGTCTGTGAAAGTATTAACAATTAAGGCTTAGGTCTACACTTGGATCGCAACTTGAAAGATAATACCCACATCCAACACACAGCCAAAGCCTCCAAAACAGCAGGCATCCTCTCCAAGAGAAGTTACTCTATATCTCAAACAACACTACTTACATTGTACTACTCTCTAATCTACCCCTACCTCACCTATGGTATTTGTGCCTGGGGATCTACTACATCAAATCACCTAAAACCATTAATAACCCAATACAAAGCCACTGTGTGGACTATCATTCTCATCTCAATGATGTTACTTGAGAGTCTGTTCTATTCATCTACAACTCTACTACCAAGAAAAAGAAAGATTAAAAAGAAATTGAAGAGGAAGATACAAAAAGAAAAAAATGAGGAATATGACGCAAGAAAAAGATAAAAAAGAAAAAGCAATTCCACATACCTCTTTAACTAGTAGTTGATCACGAATAGAAATCCGCTTCTTTGGGGGCTCTGGTATTCCTCCCCCCTTACTAGACTTTAATTTTTTTGTTAAAGTAATCATTCCTCTGGAAAAAAAAAAAAACTACTATTAATGAGACAGTTGCAATGTTAATGTTTATTATGCATTTAAAATTTTTTTCTCAATTTTCCGAAGCATGAAGGAGAAAGGAAAACATATGCAGTATTAAAAATAAAAAAGATTTTAAGGTAACTCTCTCTCATAAATAAATGCAGTCATAAAAGCAGTTAAAGTACCAGATGGACAGACATATGCAGTAGTATAATGAGAAGAGAACTTTACTAAGTTTGTAACTTGATAAAGCCCACTGGGAGTGATCATGTCGGAGGATCTCACCTTCAAGGACCATAACATTGTATCAATCGCATCTGCTAGAAAAATGACAGGATGGATAATGAGAACCTTCAAAACTAGGGAGGCCAAGCCCATGATGACACTCTTCAGGTCACTTGTTCTATCTAGGCTGGAATATTGCTGCACACTAACAGCACCTTTCAAGGCAGGTGAAATTGCCGACCTAGAAAATGTACAGAGAACTTTCACGGCGCGCATAACGGAGATAAAACACCTCAATTATTGGGAGCGCTTGAGGTTCCTAAACCTGTATTCCCTGGAACGCAGGAGGGAGAGATACATGATTATATACACCTGGAAAATCCTAGAGGGACTAGTACCGAACTTGCACACGAAAATCACCCACTACGAAAGCAAAAGACTTGGCAGACGATGCACCATCCCCCCAATGAAAAGCAGGGGTGTCACTAGCACGTTAAGAGACCATACAATAAGTGTCAGGGGCCCGAGACTGTTCAACTGCCTCCCAGCACACATAAGGGGGATTACCAACAGACCCCTGGCAGTCTTCAAGCTGGCACTGGACAAGCACCTAAAGTCAGTTCCGGATCAGCCGGGCTGTGGCTCGTATGTTGGTTTGCGTGCAGCCAGCAGCAACAGCCTGGTTGATCAGGCTCTGATCCACCAGGAGGCCTGGTCTCAGACCGGGCCGCGGGGGCGTTGACCCCCGGAACTCTCTCCAGGTAAACTCCAGGTAAACTGTGTAGATGAAACACTATCAATAAAGGATCGCTTAATACTACATTTGTGTCTTTATCCATTGTGTCAATATTTTATGTCATTTCTCTCCAACAGTACCAGGTGTTAATGGTAGTGTCACAAAGCATCTGTGCAGCACAATGTACAGTAATATATTCAGCATTACAGACACCATAGGTCTTAACCAAAGTGCTCTGTTGGTTAAGACCTATGAGAAAGTTCATTACATACTTGGATTTTCTTTTACATTTTATGATGAAAGTTCATATTTTATGTCTACATGCTTTGCTGGTGGTGCAAATTCTAAGTGGCATTTGTAACCTGACCAAAACCTGGTTGTAATTAATGGAACCAAGTTCCCTGCTGATTTTTCTTTAAATATGCCAGACATGTAGAACAGTTGCATGAAAGAATGATGGCAAATAGACTGACTGGTGTTAATTTTGCTGTTTCAACACTATAATGTTTAACCAGTGTTGTCTTTGTATTATTGCCCTCAGATGGTTTGTAGATAGCTAAGAATATAATGGACTACCTTCTTGTTAGCATAAGTCCCTATCAAATCATTTATCATGCATTTCCTTTAATTTTGTCATATACTGCATATGCCTGCTTTCTGAAACAAGCACATTATAAATGTTTCTTAGAACTTAAAAGCTCTTCGGAATGCATGAGGGAAAGATAATTTTTTATTATTTAATCCCAGGGGTTTAAGAACAAGCAATGTGGCATACATAGGGTGCTTGTGGCTCGGTAGCGACCTTAGCTTATACAGAGTGACCAAGATTCAATCATTGAATGAACAGACATGTTGGGCATGTTTCCTTACACCTGTTAAGAACATAAGAACGAAGGAACACTGCAGAAGGCCTACTGGCCCATGCGAGGCAGGTCCAAGTCTCCTACCGGCTTAAGCCAATGCACCCAACCTAGTCAGGTCAGGTCACATTGACTTAAGGGAGGAACACGGCAACCGACCTGTTAGCACAAGCTATCAGGTCTAACTCACACCCACCCACATCTACTCATGTATTTATCCAACCTATTTTTAAAGCTACACAACGTTCTGGCCTCTATAACGGTACTTGGGAGTTTGTTCCACTCATCCACAACTCTATTACCAAACCAGTACTTTCCTATATCCTTCCTGAATCTGAATTTTTCCAACTTAAAACCATTGCTGCGAGTCCTGTCTAGGCTAGATATTTTCAGCACACTATTTACATCCCCTTTATTTATTCCTGTCTTCCACTTATACACCTCAATCATATCCCCCCTAATTCTACGTCTTTCTAGAGAGTGCAGTTTCAGGGCCCTTAGTCTATCCTCATAGGGAAGGTTTCTGATACATGGGATCATCTTTGTCATCCTCCTTTGTACATTTTCCAGAGAATTTATATCCATTCTGTAATACGGTGACCAAAACTGTGCAGCATAATCTAAATGAGGCCTAACCAAGGATGTATAGAGTTGAAGAACAACCTGAGGACTCCTATTATTTATGCTATTAGGCAGCTGGTGTGGGTCACATCCTCGGGGTGGGGGTGGGGGGGGAAGGGAGGCCAGGATTAACAACCCCAGTGGAAATAAAACACTGATGACATCCTGATTAGTAACTGGGCTACTAACCATATGGGTTAATAATCTAAACAAAATCATTTACTTCCACATGGATCCTTCAATCCTCTTCTCCAGGATATGACTCACAACAGTCTACTGACTCTCAGGTACTGTATGTACTTCGTTATTGCTTGATGTATATGAAAAAATCACATGCCCCTCTAGAAATCAAACCTGGTCTCTTCAGTAAGAGACAAATGCTGTACCAATGAACTATGCATAAATGTCATATAGTTCAGCTATACGCTGATGCATAACTCACGTCCATACATGTTGATACACTTATGTGACAACCCTGAATGTGTGTATACATTTCAGTGCAAGAATTATTATTATAATCAAAAGAAGAGCTAAACCTTCAGTACAAGAAAAAAATTGCAAACAAATCAGCTTACAGGGTGGAAGTCCTGTCATTTATATAAAGCAGGTCCCATTAAGTAGGGAACAAAAGTAGCTTCTTTGTATGAAATTTTTTACACAGAAAATAAACTAATCTAACCTAACTAAAATTATACACAAATTTCTATATGACTTTTTTTCTGTGACTTTATTACCTGTCACTGTTGTAGGCCTTCATTATTGATATATTTTGTAGATTTAATGCAAGATAACTCAACAGTATACAACAGTACGACTTTGATCATTGAAAAAGTTTTATTTTAACCTTGATATTCTAGGTTATCCAAGGTTAATTTATACATGTTACCAGTGAAGTCTACTGTAAAAATTTAAACTTGTATAATGACAGTAAAAGTTTACTCCAACGACAATCTTTCCCAAGCACCCAAAATAGCTTTCATTAGCTCTAGCTTCAAGTGCTGGATTAAGTTTGCTTATTCAGTAGATTCAATTATAATTTTCAGGTTCATGTGCTTCAGAACAAGTGTCAACTAACGACTAATAAGAACCCGGAACCTAATAATGGCTGTTGAACAGTTTCTGTGAAGGGAAATTTTAGCCATAAACATGCTGGCACAGGATTATGGTACAATTAATTTACAAAACAAGATCAAATTAAAGGACATTTTGTCATTGTTATGACTGACAGCCTCTACCAAAACCTGGAAATGTCATTTAAATATTACAAATAGACATTCCAGGATTTTCATTTAATTTGAACAACACTAGTCTGATTAAAAATGTAATCCATGACAGAATATACACTTCTATTTATCAGTTATCTTTTAATACCTTTATCCAGTCATTCTAGTTACCTCTTGTCAAAACCCGTATTATAAACCAGTCCTTGATCACTCATATACCTGAGCTTAATTTACAACTAACAAACTGTGAATCACAGCACCCAGGAATACGAATGAAAATAGATATTAATATATATAGAAGAAACTCCAAAGAAATGTAGGTGGCAAGGTAAAACTGTACCTCGGGTGCCCCCTGGGCCAAACACAGCGGGGGAGAGTGTGGTGTAGTGACACACCACCTTCACTATACTAATATAACACCACACTGGCACCTCTCATTCTCTCTCTCTCTCTCTCTCTCTCTCTCTCTCTCTCTCACACACACACTCTCTCTCTTTATCCTTCACCTCTCCACCGTCTATGTGCTCGCTCTCATCTGAAACCATCTTATTAATCTACTTTTTGTGTTTTAATGACGTGTAAAGATAGCTCTCGTTGGGTAGCGGATGATTAACCAGGTCATTATTTATCTTAAAACTTGTGTCAGGAGACATTTGATCTAATTTTCCTGACGAATAAATCACCATGACAACCGTTTGTGGGGGTTGAGACTCGCCTCCTGGCCCTGTCTCTTAACTCCAAAATTGGTTATTTAGTAATTCCTTATCTTCTGAGCTCCTGTCATACCTACTCTTGAAACCATGTATGGAGTCTGGCTCCACCGCTACCTCATCCAATTCGCGATCATTATTCACTACCATAAGACAGTATTTCCTAATATATAAATAGTTATTATTATTATCATCATTATTACCGTAGTAAATATCTAAATTGTAAGTCGCCCCCGTCCCTCTGGAATTGGTCCAATGTCACGGTCTGTTCAGCAGAATCCTATCAGTATAATATAATAATAATATATAATAATAATATCTTTATTTTTACAGGTACATGTACAAGGTATGCAGTCGTAGTTGACACTGTGACATACTACTGTATAGAAAGCTGCTTGTTAAGCAGAGCATTTCGGGTAAATTATGTCAGTTTTGTCCCAGGATGCGACCCACACCAGTCCACTAACACTCAGGTACACATTTTAAACTGATGGGTGAACGTGGACAACCAGTATAAAAAAATACGCCCAATATTTCTACCCTGGCCGTGTAAAGCGAGAGTTTTGACCACCAGGCCACGGGCCAGGAAGACATTATCATATCTTCCTCGGTCCTTTTCTATGGTGCTAAATTCAATACACTGAACCTCTCACTGTTCATTCCTCTCTGTTCCAGAAACTCTAGTTCCACTGGACCTTCCCTGACTTCTGAACAGACTTTCTCAGGTGTGAACTTCGTGTTGGTGATGTATTTTTTAATGATAAACGACAAATGATAAACTTTATCTCTACAAAATACGGATTACAAATGATTCAGAAAATACGTTAATACTCCCATAATTTATAGAAAGTTATGCAAAGCATTCAGGGAGTGGGCCAAACGTATGTATATATGGTGTACTGATGGATTCTTTGTTGAGGAATATGAAGACGATCGATTTTATGATTTATAAGCTTCGTGTGCACTGAAAATGTTATACGGTTTATATGTACCTCTGGTAGTATGTTCGGTGCAATGATTACTCACAGATCCTTCTCATTATCTTCTTACTCACTTTTAACTTCTTTTTCTCTTAGTTTATACTCCTTCCGATTTGTATGAATTACATTTGGTTGGACTGAACTCCTTTATAGTCACTGGGCAAGTTTTCTTGCATCCTGTCTTGTTTTCTATTTATATTCTCATACTCACGACTTGATCCTTTTTTGTAGATTAATTGCGTATTATTTAGAGAAGCAATAACCATAGTACCAATCCATGAGGGATCCCCATGCTGATGGTTCCTTTTTTATCATGAGTCATGATTATCTTCTGTTCCCTTTTACTCTTTGATCAATTTATTTTTTTCCCGTAACCTTACTTTTCCCAGTCTGTGAATTAATCTCTGGTGTGGAGTTGAAGCAAATGTTCTACAGCCTCAGAAAGGCAGTCTGCTGAGTCTTGTATCACTTGTATGATAGTGGGGTACTTAGTAATATGTCTACAGGGGTTATGAGGGTTGTAAGGTGTTACACACATCCATTTATGTTATGCCAGGTTCAGTGTAGAATATGTAGCACCAGCGTTGAGCCCACTCATGATAAAACTCGTCAGACAGAAAAATCCAAAGATCTGCTGTCAAAATAAGTTCCGAGTTGAGAAGGATAATACAAGAATAGTCAAACTGATTACCTCGGAAGGCTGGAGAACCAGAGACGACATAATCATGCATAAAATGCTCTTGAGGCCATGATAGGAAAATAGAAGGAAATTATCTGAAAAGAGAGGACACGGGTATAAGGGACATAAAGAGAAGTTAGAGACATAAGCATATTCTTTCTTAATTTCCAGAGTGATTAGGAAGTGGAATAATCTTGATGAGGAAGTGGTGAAAGTAGATTCAACCGCAGGTGAAGACGGGACTAGGAGCTGTAACTCGTCTCCGGCAACCACAAGTAGATGAGTATGGTATGAACTGTCATATGACCCCTTCAATATGTGAGTTGTATAGTGTGAAGTGTCATGCATTCTAAGTGTATGTGATTATTTTGTAATGTTTTTGGTTATAAATCTTAAATATGGTTGTTAATGTAGCTCCTCCATTTGCTTCCGTCCTCAGAGAACTTATTCAACATAATGCTAAAATACAGTGGATCAATATATCAATAATATATTAAATTCTTCAGCAATGTATGCAGATATTAATTTGAAGTGACTTATATGGTGCCTGTCACTTACACAACGCCATCTAGGCGCTAAAGGTAAAATTAAAAGAATGATATAGTTTCCAAATAGAGTGTTTTTAGCAATGAAACAAATATTTCCAAAATATATTATTCTTGGTATACTCGGAGTAATCATAACAAGAAGCCAGATAAAAGATGTCAGGAATATTATTAAAAAAAAATGTATATACGTTGGGTTGAATTTAATCCATATCACAAACAGGATCTTTATTCATTGATAGGTGTTATCTTAGTGTATATATACGAAGTACTGTACTGTCACTTTATGGATTAAATCATTCTTAACGTTGGGACCCTAATGGAAAAAGTCAGTATGACTTTTTTTTTGGGTTATCCTAGGTAATCTACACTTGCTGTTGTGTGTGTGGTAATATATGTAACTTTGTGTGTGCTTGTACCTGAACAAATTTACAGCACAGGCGATCATTATTATAATTACTGGAAGGGTTAAACCGAACTATCCAATGGAAATAAGTCCCTGTGTCTGACTATTTTTGGGTTATCCTAGGTTCTCTATACATATGCTGCTATGTATGATAATTCTATGTAACTGTATTTGTGTATACCTGAATAAACTTACAGGTAAATTGTGGTGCCATAAATAAACATTTAATTCATACATCTCAAGGGCGGTACCTTGACACCCTTCACAGCCTTGTTGTCCTGGGACTATCTTCACTCTTCAACCCATTACCAACAACATTTTATTACTATTCTGATGCATTTCTTTCAGTTATATAGGGATACCACTTCTAGTGCTTTGACCTCTCGATGGGGCTGCTTTGATGATGGTTACTAAGTTTAGGTATACACAAGTACAGTTACATAGATTATCATACATAGCAGCATGTGTAGAGAACCTAGGATAACCCCAAAAAGGCTCTCAACTTCTTGTCCGGTAATAAGTTAATGTTAAGACTGCCCAAAATCCTCTAGACTGTTCAAGGGATTTATGTTGAAAGTCCATAAAGCATGTCATTTATTCATATAATTGTATATTGTGATTTATGGAAATATAATCTTTTTCAGGAATTCGACTGTTCCTCCCTTGGATTAAACTCAAGGCTCTAACACAGGCTTATGGCTCATGGGTGGCACCTTAAACTCATATCTGAAGGACCTGGGATCGATCCCATCATAAGTGGAAATGTTGGGCATGTTTCCTTTTCACCTATTGCCCCTGTTCAACTAACAGTAAGTAACTGGGTGTAAATTGACTGTTGTGGGTTGCATCCTGGGGAAAAGGTTAGTTCTTTTTTCGTGACATACCAGTAATGCTCTTTTTGAGACATGCATTTTTAACACTTGTAAAAAAAATTGTACACCTAATGTTATTTGTATGATGAATGAATTTTATATGACTATTTTTATACAACAAATTTTTTTTTTTTTTTTTTTTTTTTTTTTCAACAAGTCGGCCGTCTCCCACCGAGGCAGGGTGACCCAAAAAAGAAAGAAAATCCCCAAAAAGAAAATACTTTCATCATCATTCAACACTTTCACCACACTCGCACATTATCACTGTTTTTGCAGAGGTGCTCAGAATACAACAGTCTAGAAGCATAAACATATAAAGATACACAACATATCCCTCCAAACTGCCAATTTACCCCCAAACCCCTCCTTTAAAGTGCAGGCATTGTACTTCCCATTTCCAGGGCTCAAGTCCGACTATATGAAAATAACCGGTTTCCCTGAATCCTTCACTAAATATTACCCTGCTCACACCCAACAGATCGTCAGGTCCCAAGTACCATTCGTCTCCATTCACTCCTTTCTACACGCTACACGCACGCTTGCGGGAAGTCCAAGCCCCTTACCACAAAACCTCCTTTACCCCCTCTCTCCAACCCTTTCGAGGACGACCCCTTACCCCCGCCTTCCTTCCCCCATAGATTTATATGCTTTTCCATGTCATTCTAACTGTGATCCATTCTCTCTAAATGACCAAACCACCTCACAACCCCTTTTTCTGCCCTCTGACTAATACTTTTATTAACTCCACACCTTCTCCTAATTTCCACACTCCGAATTTTCTGCATAATATTTACACCACCCCATTGCCTTAAACAGGACTCTCCGCTGCCTCCAACCGTCTCCCCGCTGCTGCATTTACCACCCAAGCTTCACACCCATATAAGAGTGTTGGTACTACTATACCCTTTTATACATTCCCTTCTTTGCCTCCAAGATAACGTTTTTTGACTCCACATATACCTCAAGCACCACTCACCTTTTTTCCCTCATCAATTCTATGATTAACCTCATCCTTCATAAATCCATCCGCCGACACGTCAACTCCCAAATATCTGAAAACATTTACTCTTCCATACTCCTCCTCCCCAATTTTATATCCAATTTTTCTTTATCTAAATCATTTGACACCCTCATCACCTTACTCTTTTTTATGTTCACTTTCAACTTTCTACCTTTACACACATTCCCAAACTCATCCACTAACCTTTGCAATTTTTCTTTAGAATCTCCCATAAGCACAGTATCATCAGCAAAAAGTAACTGTGTCAATTCCCATTTTGAATTTGATTCCCCATAATTTAATCCCACCCCTCTCCCAAACACCCTAGCATTTACTTCCTTTACAACCCCATCTATAAATATATTAAACAACCATGGTGACATTACACATCCCTGTCTAAGACCTACTTTTACCGGGAAGTAGTCTCCCTCTCTTCTACACAACCCTAACCTGAGCCTCACTATCCTCATAAAAACTCTTTACAGCATTTAATAACTTACCACCTATTCCATATACTTGCAACATCTGCCACATTGCTCCTCTATCCACTCTATCATATGCCTTTTCTAAATCCATAAATGCAATAAAAACTTCCCTATCTTTATCTAAATACTGTTCACATATATGCTTCAATGTAAACACCTGATCTACACATCCCCCTACCCACTCTAAAACCTCCTTGCTCATCCGCAATCCTACATTCTGTCTTACCTCTAATTCTTTCAATTATAACCCTACCGTACACTTTTCCTGGTATACTCAGTAAGCTTATTCCTCTATAATTTTTACAGTCTCTTTTGTCCCCTTTCCCTTTATATAAAGGGACTATACATGCTCTCTGCCAATCCCTAGGTACCTTCCCCTCTTTCATACATTTATTAAACAAAAGTACCAACCACTCCAACACTATATCCCCCCCTGCTTTTAACATTTCTGTCATGATCCCATCAGTTCCAGCTGCTTTACCCTCTTTCATTTTACGTAATGCCTCACGTACCTCCCCCACACTTACATTCTGCTCTTCTTCACCTCCTAAAAGATGGTATACCTCCCTGACCAGTGCATGAAATTACTGCCTCTGTTTCTTCCTTAACATTTAAAAGTTCCTCAAAATATTCTCGCCATCTACCCAATACCTCCACCCCTCCCCCATCTACAAACTCCCCTACTCTGTTTTTAACTGACAAATCCATATTTTCCCTAGGCTTTCTTAACTTGTTTAACTCACTCCAAAATTTTTTCTTATTTTCATTAAAATTTCTTGACAGTGCCTCTCCCACTCTATCATCTGCTCTCCTTTTGCACTCCTCTCACCACTTTTTCTTTACCTTTCTTTTACTCTCCATATACTCTGCTCTTCTTATAACACTTCTGCTTTGTAAAAACCTCTCATAAGCTACCTTTTTCTCTTTTTACACACCCTTTACTTCATCTTCCACAATCACTCCTCTTTCCTCCTGCCCCCACCCCCCTATAACCACAAACTTCTGCCCCCCACATTCTAATACTGCATTTTTAAAACTATTCCAACCCTCTTCAACCCCCCCACTTACTCATCTTTGCACTAGCCCACCTTTCTGCCAAAAGTCGCTTGTATCTCACCCGAACTTCCTCCTCCTTAGTTTATACACTTTCACCTCCCTCTTACTTGTTGTTGCCACCTTCCTCTTTTCCCATCTACCTCCCTTTCTCTAACTGTAGCAAAAACTAAATAATGATCCGATATAAACAGTTGCCCCTCTATAAACATGTACATCCTGGAGCCTACCCAATCAACCTTTTATCCACAATACATAATCTAATAAAACTACTTTCATACGTGCTACATCATACCTTTATATTTATTTATCCTCTTTTTCATAAAATATGTATTACTTATTACCAAATTTCTTTCTACACATAGCTCAATTAAAGGCTCCCCATTTACCATTTAACCCCTGGGCACCCCAAATTTTACCTACTACTCCCTCCATAACATTTTTACCCACTTTAGCATTAAAAATCCCAACCACCATTACTCTCACACTTGATTCAAAACTCCCCCCCGCATTCACTCAACATTTCCCAAAATCTCTCTCTCTCCTCTACACTTCTTTTCTCTTCTCCAGGTGCATACAACACTTATTATAACCACTTTTCACATCCAAACTTTATTTTACTCCACATAATCCTTGAATTAATACATTTATAGTCCCCCCTTTTCCCCGCCATAGCTTATCCTTCAACATTATTGCTACTCCTTCTTTAGCTCTAACTCTATTTGAAACCCCTGACCTAATCCCATTTATTCCTCTCCACTGAAACTCTCACACCCCCCTTTAGCTTTGTTTTTACTTAAAGCCAGGACATCCAGCTTCTTCTCATTCATAACATCCACAAACATCTCTTTTTTTATCACTGCACAACATCCACGCACATTCAGACTTCCCACTTTGACAATTTTCTTCTTCTTATTCTTTTTAGTAATCTTTACAGGAAAAGGGGTTACTAGCCCATTGTTCCCGGCATTTTAGTTGACTTTTACAACACGCATGGCTTACGGAGGAAAGATTCTTATTCCACTTCCCCATGGATATAAAAGGAAAATTAATAAGACCAAGAACTATTAAGATAAAATCAAAGAAAACTCAGATGAGTGTGTATAAATAAATGTGTACATGTATGTGTAGTGTGACCTAAGTGTAAGTAGAAGTAGCAAGACATGCCTGTAATCTTGCATATTTATGAGACAGACAAAAGACATCAGGAATCCTACAACAAATTATTTTTATATAATAATCATTTATGATGAATGGTTTCTACAGTTAATTAGGACTTTTTATAATACAAGCTTTTGTGTAACACAGTAATGTACTGGATATGTATTTTATAAAATTTTATTTTGATATTTGTAAATCTTTATTGTGCAGATCTTTATGATAGAAACTGTGCTTTCTACATGAATAATTATTTATTTTTTGTTTGATTATTGATTATATATCTATATATACAGTTATGTTCACTTTCTCTAGTACCATGCCGATTAAGATTTCTCACCCTTACAAAATATAAAACAAAATATTATGTCCCATTTAAACTTTAGCATCTTAATTTGATAATTTTTCAGTGTAATTACCTATTTGTAATTGCCTATAGCTACAGGAGAAGAGGTATCCTTGTGGTGTCCTGTCTTCAAAAATTTGTACATCATATTTTTTAACATTTTCTATGGTTGTAGTACTTACTGCATCTTTTTTTAATTCATTCCACTATCTACAGATTAAACACTTGTAATATAATAATTTAGTTTGTTTTCCATTTTTTTTATTGGAGCAGAGTACATGAATACAGTATTTTTAACAGGACTACTGTAATTTTCATAACTTTGTAAGCTAGGCATAATCGTTTTGCACCTCATTTGGCAAGCTTTGAGTGTGCTAATAAATTTTATTCTTGACATGAAATGGGTGCATGACTTTTTTTTTTTTTTAAGGTTACTAGTAATAGTGGATGCTATATGAATGATCAAAACTGAGTTGATTCTTTTATCTAAGGCTTTTGACTACTACAGTAATGTGTCAGGGTCCCACCAGTCTCAAAAATAGCTGTAACAATAGCACTGACTTATTTTCTCCATATGGCACTAGTTAATTTTTTCTATGTAAATTCTAAAAAATAAATCTAGACAAAGATTTATCATTTTTGCAAAGTGATATTCAGTGGATGTAATGGGAAAATTACTGCAAATAGCATTTACAACTTATATTATATATAATGCCTTGGGCAAGTCTTAATCTTAAAGGTGTAAAAAAATACATTACAGTTAGAGTTTTAGAATACTGTTAAATGATAAGTATGTACATATACCCAGAAGAGCAGCAGTAACTGTATCTGTAGATATATGAGATGGTACAGAATGTTTTATGCAGTAATGTATATAGTATTGTAGTAATATGGCATATGTTGCAGTAAATAATCATTAATATAGTATGTATGCAAATTTTGTTTCTTAAAAGCGGCTTGGCAGGCCAGTTTCACCCTATTATTTAGTGAATGCTTATTTTAGATAGCCATTTTTCATCATTTTGAAAATTATTAATTTAAATGCTTTAATAGTACATACATACATACAAATGCACTTGTACTCTGCAACTCCAAACATGTAATGCCTTACCTTGAGCATGCATCATATTTAATCTCTTTATTGTATAGTATGATTTTGCTGATTTAAGTTATCAAATTAAATTACATCAAAAACAAGCTCCACCAATGCTTATGTTGTTGTTACTACTATTTCTTCTATTTCTATTTCTGTTTCTTCTTCTTCTATTTCTCATCTCTACCATTCTGGTTCTACTTATAAGTCTCTTTTCTCATGTCTCGGTATAAGATTGATAAATCCTCTGGTGGGCAAAATATCTGTTAAATAAAAATATCCAGCTGTTTCATGTCTTATACACTCACTAAAATATATGAACTTTCTAGGCTAGAAGCAATTGGTAACATATAGCAGTCTGTGTGTATACAGTGTTTGGGTCAATAGACACTTGTCCGTTGCAGACAAATCTGGGTTTGATTCCCAGTGAGGGTAGAAACATTGGGTGTGTTTATTTACACCGGTTGTCTATGTTCCCCCATTAGTAAAATGGGTACCTGGGTGTTAGTCGACTGGTGTGGGTCCCATCCTGGGACAAAACTGACCTAAAATACCCAGAGTGCTCTCCATGACAAGCAGCTTTCTATAGAGTATGTCACTGATGTCAGCTAGACCTGTATACCTTGTACATGTACTTGTAGTAAATAAAGATATTATTCTTCTTTCTTTCTTTCAACACACCGGCTGTATCCCACCGAGGCGGGGTGGCCCAAAAGGAAAAACGAAAGTTTCTCCTTTTGCATTTAGTAATATATACAGGAGAAGAGGTTACTAGCCCCTTGCTCCCGGCATTTTAGTCGCCTCTTACAACACGCATGGCTTACGGAGGAAGAATTCTGTTCCACTTCCCCATGGAGGTAAGAGGAAATAAACAAGAACAAGAACTAGAAAGAAAATAGAAGAAAACCCAGAGGGATGTGTGTATATATATATGCTTGTACATGTATGTGTAGTGTGACCTAAGTGTAAGCAGAAGTAGCAAGACGTACCTGAAACCTTGCATGTTTATGAGACAGAAAAATGGACACCAGCAATCCTACCATCATGTAAAACAATTACAGGCTTTCGTTTTACATTCACTTGGCAGGACGGTAGTACCTCCCTGGGTGGTTGCTGTCTACCAACCTACTACCATATAAAGATATTATTATTATTATATTATTTTTTAACCACACATTTCCATATTATAATAGTATACAGTACTGTAACTGACAGAGTTTATTAGCAATCTTTATTAGATATCTTTATTCGTAGGTCATCTAGTTGCTTTTCACTTTTACCAATTATATTTAAAAAAAAAATATACTGTAACCTATTATTTAGAAACTAATGATTCTTTATGTTATATCAATGATTGTATTTAACTGGCTAACTGAAAGTACCATATTTGTTTTCCCAGCAGTTGAGCTATGGATGTATTGGAGAATTCAAGCAGCAAAGACCAGTTTATTCCAGGAAACTTTAACCCTCTTCTTCAGGAAGTATCTGAATTTATAAATAAGTCTTTAAAGCATGTGAACCATAACTATCAAGGTCAGGTTAGCAAAATTCAAGGTGAATTATCACTTAATCAACAGAAATTTGCAGAAACTGATCTAAATATTCTGGGCAAAACCCTCACAATTTTGTCTTTGCCACCTAGGTTTACTACCGTTCGAGTTAATGTACTCAAAATTACTCTAAGGAAGGCATTGGCACTTATTGAAGAGCATCTCAGGCATCAATACATAGGTAAAACTAGTCCACTTCCATTAGTGTATCCACATCATTTATTGCCAGATCTACTAATAATAGAATCATCTGGTATCCAGGGGGTACAACCAGCAACGAAGGAGGTGATAGTAGGACGAATGTGTGGGTCAGCGGTACTTCGTGGAGCAGAGGTTTTTGCTCCTGGTGTTGTAGGAGCCTCACCAGATCTTCATGCCGGAGATAGAGTAGCTGTGTTTGCTGACCTTGATGATGCCTGTTTAAGAGGGTGCAAACATTTCAGTGGTAGGAAAATGTTTTTAGGAAATGGAATAGTAAATCAGAGTAGGAAGGATCTCTTTAAGACTTCAAAACCTACTGGTTTAGCAGTCTCAGTGAAAGAACCAATATTTGATGCTCCTAGTTTTGGAAGTTGTCATTCAGAGTTACTGTTCCTCCAAAACTTGCCATCAGTATTATGTAGCCATATTCTTAATCCTGATAAACATGCACAAGTTCTAGACATGTGTGCAGCACCAGGGGGAAAAACAACACATATTGCAACACTCATGTACAACACTGGACAAGTTATTGCCATTGACAAGTCACAAAATAAACTTAACCAAATCAGACTGACTGCACAAAAATTAGGCCTCACTAATATAAAAGCATTTAAGTATGACAGTACAAAATTAATTTCTCCAATAGGTTTAGATGGTACAGCTTGTAATATTGGTCAGAGGAAAATTTGTTTACCCAATAACATTTTTTCAGAAAGTAATACATACAAAATCTCAAGTAAATTAAATAGTGTAGGTATGGATCAAGAATATAATTCATGTGCACCACCATATAAACCTTCCTCATTCAGATGGATTCTGCTTGATGCTCCTTGCAGTGCCCTTGGTCAGCGTCCTCAAATTCAGACCAAAACGAATATGAAAGAACTGCAATCTTTTCCAATTATTCAGCATAAATTGTTGGAGAATGCAGTGGAGCTTTTACAACCAGGGGGAAAACTTGTGTACAGCACATGTACTATTGTCCCAGAGGAAAATGAAAATATGGTGAAATGGCTGTTGGATAAATATGCAAATGTAGAACTTATAGAAACGACTCCTAAGCTTGGTAAGCCTGGATTACCAAACTGTGGGCTAAATGAAGAAGAATGTGGTAAAGTGCAGAGGTTTGGCCCTTTTCCTTGCAATAATTCAGGTAACTGGAGTGTTGATGAAGATACAATTGGTTTCTTTATTTCTGCATTTAGAAAATTATCATGATATTGTTAAACTTTGTATTTCTGTAGTATATGTATATATACCATATAAAATATAACAGTGTTGTAAAACCTTGATATAATGGACCCCTTATGCAATGGATTTTGGATATAATGATCAAATTTTTTTGCTGGAAAGAAGGCTCAGTGATCCTGCTGTATGGGGGTGTCTGGTAAAATCATCGATTTGCAGCTGACCAAGTCCAGTACATATATGTCACATCTGTTAGTACAATAGGTGTCTGGTAGTACCATCAGTGCAGAAGACCAAGTCTGCTGCATTACAGATTTGTCTGGCAGAGGCCTCATCCATGACCTTTCTGTTTTCATTGTTTCCAAATAAGTGGAACAACTGGCCCATCCTGGGTCAGTTTATTATTGAATGTGCATACGCTTGCATACTGTCAATGATTTTCCCTGGATTTACAACGTTTCTATTTTATTACATATAGTATTATTATTATAATCAAGGGGGAAGTGCTAAACCCGGAGGATTATACAGCGCCTGGGGGGGGGATGTGGAAGGCATTCAGGCTTAATTCGGGGAACTGGAGCACAGATCCAATTCCCTAAATCAAGAGCCCCTCACCAACATCAAGGAACCTTCCTTGAGGGGTACATATAATATAGAGTACTGTCCTGTTAACTCTTATTCTCAGGTAATTTATTGTGCTATACTATACATATTACAGTTTTTCCTTAGTATATCCAGTAATGTCATCAAAGCAGCACACTAGGTCTGCTGAATGGGGCATTTGTTCTTGTCCATTAATACCATCGATGGAATGGCCTTAGTCTGCTGCACTGGGCACTTCAGTACAATGGATTTTCATTAGTGCAGACATCCCCTTTTCTCTGTTAGTCCATTATATGAAGGTTTCACCAAACTATACTGAATACTGAAGGTATAAAGTAAAAAAATATAGGAATTTTTTCTCACCAGTGCTCCTGTTGGACCATGTGTTCAGTAGTATTTTATTTATACGGTACTATACCTGGAGCAGGGTAACATTTATGAAGGGGTTCAGGGAAACCGGCAGGCCGGACTTGAGTCCTGGAGATGGGAAGTACAGTGCCTGCACTCTGAAGGAGGGGTGTTAATGTTGCAGTTTAAAAACTGTAGTGTAAAGCACCCTTCTGGCAAGACAGTGATGGAGTGAATGATGGTAAAGTTTTTCTTTTTCGGGCCACCCTGCCTTGGTGGGAATCGGCCAGTGTGATAATAAAAAAAATAATAAATATATACCTGGAACTCATTTTTGTTATTTATGATTGGATGGAGGCAAGGTTTTACTTTAATATTGTTGTATACGCACTTGGAGAAATTACAGGATCCATATATTTCAGTACAATACTGTATTATATTTTCAGGTGCACATATCCTAAATGCTCTGAAAGTAAACTGCTAGGAGGGAAAAAAAACAATGGTTCTTAACAAAGAGGCTTTATGACTCATATGAGTTTGGTTCATTTTGTGAACATGTATGTACAGTTATAATAATGGACAATATTTTGTTTGTATCTCCATGGGGAAGTGGAACAGAATTCTTCCTCCGTAAGCCATGCGCGTTGTAAGAGGTAACTAAAATGCCAGGAGCAAGGGGCTAGTAACCCCTTCTGTATAAATTACTAAATTTAAAAAGAGAAACTTTCGTTTTTCTTTTTGAGCCACCCTGCCTTGGTGGGATACAGCCGGTTTGTTGAAAAAAAAAAATTGTTTGTAGCCATATTTTACTTTTTGCCAACAGTTTGCTTAGCACTTTAAATATTATTGGCTAGTAGATAAGTTTTATCCTTTTAATAAAAGATAAACTTGAATTTTTTTTCTTTTGGGTCAATTTGTCTTGGCAGGAGATGGCTGTTAACATACTGTATTTTCCAGCATATAAGGCATGCCTTTTTTTTTCCCTACAAAAAATCTTGGAAAATCACCCTGTGTCTTATATGCTCAAGGTGAGGGCCAAGGGTAGGCTTTGGGTTATACTTTAGCATAAACTAAAGAGTATTTAGCTCTTGAATATGATCACTGATTTACCATTATGATAATTCTGTCATGCTCCATATATGCGAGAAAATACAGTAATAAGACTAAAAGAGATTTGAATTCATCAGAAAGCAATATTACATTACTGAGGAAGTGTGATAAACATGTACACTATCATAATGTGTGTGTGTGTTTTGGAAAGTAGTCTTAATTTTATTTATATTTTTATCAGTATGTATTAAATATTGTAAACTATTTATTACTACCATGTGAAAAAATCCTCCTGTTAGCATTTTTCCTCTGTTTATATATGGAGGATTACAGTATATGTAATGATACACACTACAGTACTATATTAACCTTTGTTTTCAATACTAGTATATGGTTAAACTGTGAGTTTTATATCAGTGTGGTTTCTATTATTGTTGACTTAAAGTGGATTTCATACAGTTATGATTAGCTTTTGAATGATACTAGTCTTGCCTTCTTAGGTATTTCCTGTAGAACAGTGGTCCTTAACCTATTTTGGCAGCAGCTCAAAGTATTGTTGAGAATCTACATGGCAAGTAATCCGTCGGCCTAGAGTCGATGTGTTCAGCCCATCATTCTTGACAGAAGTACAGCATATGTGCAGAGAATGGGCTGATATACTGTAAACAGATAAGGTGAAGCAGTTGGAGATGGCATCACCAGTGGAAAATCCACCGGAGGAAATATGTCATGCCTATAGGTTAGTAAATTGTTGAATTCCCTGTACTTTTGTAAAGATTGATGGACTGAAACATGTCAGCTTCATCCTGAGGGATTGATTACCTCAAACTTCATCTCATCTTAAACTGTTCTTCTTTGTAATGGACTGGTGAAACTACTAACTTGCAAAACGTTTGCACAATAAAGATACACCAGTATGTTGCACAAGTGTCTCTTTCATCAACTTGTTGGTTTTTTAAATCATTTATACATGTCAGGCACAGCATCTTGGTATCTTGATACTGGGAATTCTTCAATGCTTGCTTAATTATTATTATAATCTAAAAGGAAGCACTATACCTACCAGAGTTAATGCTTGCTTCAGCTATAGGCATGACTTAATTTCACTAGTAACGCTGCCCCCCATTGCTTCACCTCACCTGTTACAGTATAGAAACCCCTTTTCTGCACATATGGTGTATAAGCTACTAATGGTTGTAATCATAACTATGATTTTTAAAGAGGTCAACAGGTAAGCCAGCGGAAGTCCTCGGTTAGATGACCAAAAGCTGCAGCTGTGAGTCATCATATGATTTAAGACGCGTGTCAGGAAATACTTTTCCTGTTTTGTGACAAACATTATACCTACCATATGGTGTACTATTGTCAAAATTGATGGAGTGAACACATCAACTCTAGGCCAAGGGACTGATTACTTCTCTGTACTGGACTAATGAAGCCAGACCGGTGAAAGTTTCCACAATAAAGATACCTAAATACTGCACAAGTGTCTCATATACCTAAAAAAAAACTTTTGGATTGTTCTTCCATTCCCTTATTATTATTATTATTATTATTATTATTATTATTATTATTATTATTATTATTATTATGAGAAACTTCCGTTTTTTCTTTTGGGCCACCCCGCCTCGGTGGGATACGGCCGGTGTGTTGAAAGAAAGAATCAAAAAGAAGTGCTAAACCACAAGGGCTTTACAGCGCTGTTCCATTCCCCTGCGACTTTAATTTTCATAATCCCTTTTAGCTTTTCTTATTCCTTTCTTGAAATATTCTTGAATATATTGATTACTTAGGAATCTGTTCTTTCTGCTTCACCTGCCGAATGTCTCTCTCTTGCCATACAAGATGTTTTAATCTGTTGTTTATTAATTTAAGAGTAATTTTTGTTTGATCTAATTCCCTTTTTGGAACATATGTTGCCTGAGCAGCTTTAACTATGCAGCTTTGAAAAACATATTGACATTTCAATGTGAACATTATTATTATTATTATAATCAAGGGGGAAGCGCTAAACCCTGAGGATTATACAGCGCCTGGGGGGGGGGATGTGGAAGGCATTCAGGCTTAATTCGGGGAACTGGAGCACAGATCCAATTCCCTAAATCAAGAGCCCCTCACCAACATCAAGGAACCTTCCTTGAGGGAATTCAATGTGAACAGACTGACTGATGATCAAACTAAATGCAAATTATGTGATCAGACATATGGTCACTGTCTTGAACACTATGTGCTTAATTGTCCACTTATTGAGGAATACAGAGATGGACAGTATAATAACCTATGTAACATGTCAAGATATCCTATTAATGAAAATAAGATACCAGATATACTAAGAAATTTCCTAAATTTTCTTTTAATAGATAAGTGAGCTGTAGATATGTAGATGTAAATCCAAATATACGCCTGTTAACTCTTTTGGGGCCTAGTTCCTATGCCTTTTCTGTATCCATGTGCTCTTGCGCTACCGTCCACAGGGTGGCTATGGGCTCTACCTGGAGGGTATTCCGGGGATCAACGCCCCCGTGGCCCGGTCCATGACCAGGCCTCCCGGTGGATCAGGGCCTGATCAACGAGGCTGTTACTGCTGGCCGCACACAATCCAACGTAAGAACCACAGCCCGGCTGATCCGGCACCGTCTTTAGGTATCTCTGTCCAGCTCCCTCTTGAAGACAACCAAGTGCACAATAAACTAGCCATTTCGGGGGTAAAATCAAAATCTAAAAAAGATCTCTCCCTACCTGCCCTACATGATAATCAGTTGTCAGATCACATCAGCTGATTCCTATTTAATCCCCCATTCCCACAAAATTGGCAGCACGAAAATCTGGAATCTTGTTATTACAGTAATTCCATGATATATCGAAAGTGTGTGATTACTTTCCTCAAGTGCATCATTAACTTCAAGTTTATTAATTCAAACAGGTTATTTCCTCTAGTTGGTTATGTTTCAAACTGTTAAAAAAGAAAAATCCTGGATATTATCAAGACAGTCACTAAACTCAAGATTTCCTGTCAAATTGCTCTAATCAATATGTCTAAAGTTGAAAACATCCATTATTAACATATTTTCGTATCTAGATGCCATAGAAATTTCGTCCCATAGAAGTTTACTATGTTCGCTATCAAGGTTTGGAGGGCCTGTAAATCACACCCAACATGGGTGTGATTTACAGGCCCTCCAAACCTTGAAGCAGCGCTGTATAGCCCTTGTGGTTTAGCGCTTCTTTTTTATTATAATAATAATAATTATCCAAACCTTGAAGAATTAATCTTACGTGACCCAAGACTAGTTTTTCACGTCTCTCCAGAAATTGTAGCTAAATATTATTTATTATTATTATAATCAAGGGGGAAGCGCTAAACCCGGAGGATTATACAGCGCCTGGGGGGGGGATGTGGAAGGCATTCAGGCTTAATTCGGGGAACTGGAGCACAGATCCAATTCCCTAAATCAAGAACCCCTCACCAACATCAAGGAACCTTCCTTGAGGGGTGTAGATAAATAGATTGTGTCCGTCGCTTCCACTTTTATATATTGTCTAATGCAACAGTTTAAATTATCTCTGACATACATCACCACTCTACCACCCTCTCTGTCGACTCTGTAGGTGTGGCTTTTAGAAAGCATTTATCTTGTCTTTCAGGTTAAACCAGGTCTCTGTTATAGCAATATATATATGCTTCCTGTGCATGCATTTAATATTAGCTCGTCTATCTTGTGTCTAGCACTCCTATTATTAGAATAGTAGATCTGACTGAATCTTAGTAACAATATGATGAACAATGTCTTTTCAACGTTTTCTTGAGGTATCTTGGCAATTTTTGCTGCTTTCATTCCTAGTGCTGCAACCTGTTGTCACTTTCACCGATATATTTCAACATATGTAATCAAAAACACATTCTTCATCAGTAACAACTACACAAGTACAATTATCATTCATAGTGATAAATTACCTAGTATAACCCAAAAAAATGTCAGTGACTTAATTCCATTGCGGTACATTGCAAATGTTCCTCCAAGTTAAAGAATAAGGCTCAATACCGTGTACTATTCCGTGAATGGAATAATGCACAAATAACTGGCACATAGGAGAATGAAACTTATGCCAGAAACGCCGTCATAAGTTTCATTCTTTTATGTGCGGGTTATTTGTGTATTTTTCCACCAAAGTTTTATAAATCCCAAAATGTCCTAAGTCATAAATCAGATTGTTACATTCCATGTCAAGATTCAAAGTATTCTAGTAAATTAACCTAGCTAAATAATTAATATCGCCACTTTGACGTATCCAAGGTAATTTACACATATGTTAAAGTATGTAATGACATTTGTACTGATATATACCTGTGCTTAAATAAACTTACGTAACATTAGTAAAGATTATCATGATGGTGTGGGTGATGGTAGTGCCTCAGGGTGGTGAGGAACCTTTCAACCCATCACTAACAGCGTTGATCCTGGCATGTGCTCGGGATATCTGAACCATGCTTGATACTAAACCTACCAAGAGGACTATGAAAGTCCTCTTGAAAGAATTTAAGGCTGATAAAGTGAAGAATGCCAACGTTATCGTTGATGTATTGGAACGTCTGGAGGTAAGGACGAAGATGTTCCCTAATTCACTCATATCTGATTGTCCTCAGGCTGTCATTTTTCAGTTTGACTATTTTAATTCCCTTCCAGGATGTCCCCACAAGGAAAGTTCCTGGACGCTGGTGAGGGGCTCTTGGTCTAAGGAATTGGATCTGTGCTCCGGTTCCTTGAATTAAACCTGAATACCTTCCATCCCCCCCCCCCCACAGGCGCTGCATAATCCTACGAGTTTAGCGCTCCTCCTTGATTATAATAATCTTCCAGGATGTGACCCCACACTAGTCAACTAACATTCGTGTATTTACTTAGTGCTAGGTGAAGAGGGATAGGCGGTGTATGGAAACTTGCCCAACTTACCCCCCAATGAAAAGCAGGGGTGCCACTAGTACGATAAAAGACAACACAGTAAGTGTCAGGGGCCCAAGACTGTTCAACTGCCTCCCAGCATACATAAAGGGGATTACCAATAGACCCCTGGCTGTCTTCAAGCAGGTGCTGGACAGACACCTAAAGTCAGTACCTGACCAGCCGGGCTGTGGTTCGTATGTCGGGTTGCGTGTGGCCAACAGTAACAGCCTAGTTGATCAGGCCCTGATCCACCATGAGGCCTGGTCACAGACCGGGCTACAGGGGCAATGACCGCCGGAACCCTCTCCAGGTATACACTTCAATACGTTTGATAAATGGTTCTGAAAACCGACAGCTTGAAGATTGAGACACTTGTGCAGCATATGGGAATCTTTATTAAGGAAATGTTTTGCTACACAATAACTTCATCAGTCCAGTACAAAGCAGAAAGGGGGTAAGGAGAGGAGGAGTTTGAGGTAATCAGTCCCTCAGCCTGGAATCAATGTGTTCAGTCCATCACTCTAGATACCTCTCATGGAAGGTTTCTTGATGTTGGTGAGGGGCTCTCGATCTAGGGAATTGGACCTGTGCTCCAGTTTCCCGAATTAAGCCTGAACACCTTCCACATTTCCCCCACAGGTGCTGCATAATCCTGCAGGTTTAGTGCTCCCCCTTGATTATAATAATAATCTCTCTAGATAAAGATTTTATTTCTTTGTAAAGGTTACAATGTGTAATTACATTTTTGGTTTGCTAAGTACAAAGAGAGCTACTATCATGCTGGGGCATTTCGGGCAGACTAGTCATAGTGTACATAATAACTACTTAAATCTAGACAAGATAAGAGTGGTTAACTTTTATTAAAATCCTTATACTATAACCTTAATACTAATGCAAGGTAGTCAAGGGGGAAGTTTATAAGAATAATTATCTTGAAGTTGCACATAATAAAAACAATATTACAAATACAGTGGAACCTCAAATATCGAACTTTCTTCAGTCCAGAAGGCTGTTTGAGTGCCTTTACCGAATGAATTTATTCCCATCAGGAATAATGTAAATTAGATTAGTCGATTTCAGACCCTCAAAAATACACTTATAAAAGCACTTACAAAAATACACTTACATAATTGGTTGTGTTGGAAGCAGTTCGATTTGTGAGGTTCCACTGTAAGGGTTCAAACAGTAATATTTCATGGATTGGCAGATGTTTAATAGACTAGAGGTCATATAATATAATATTTGGGAGAGTTGCTTCCAACTGATTAGAAGTTGTTTTGGTTGGTTTGGTAAATATTGAGAGATGAGATGATTTTTAAGCAAAGTCCTAAATTTATAAGTAGCCAGGGGATCCTTTACCTGTTCAGGTAGTGAATTCCAGATCTTCAGACCCTTTATGTGCATTGAACATTTGTATAGTATGAGTGTGAGGGTGTGAGTTAGACCTGACTAGCTTGTGCTACTAGGCCAGATGCTGTGCTCCTTTCTTTAGTGAATGTGACCTGACCTAACTAGGTTGGGGCATTGGCTTGGGCTGGTGGGAGACTTGGACCTGCCTCGCATGGGCCAGTAGACCTGCTGCAATGTTCCTTCTTTCTTATGTTTTTATGAGACTGACACAAGGGATGCCGTAGAGTGCTTTATGCCTTGTATTGTGACTGTTTTGTTGTATTTGTCAAGGAGAAGTTTAAGGGGAGTATTTATATTGGAGTTTATGGTTTGTATATGCAGTAGGCACAATAATATGAGTGTATGTCTCGTATATTTAGTAAGTTCAGGCTTTTGAAAAGTGGTGAAGTGTGCTGTCTAACACAGGAGCTTTCTGTTGGGTTATTGAAGGTAGAAAGAGTGATGGACTTAACACATCGATTCCAGGCTCAGGGAATGATTACCTCAAATTCCTCGTCTCCTTATTCCCTTTCTGCTTTGTATTGTACTGATGAAGCCACTGTGTGGCGAAACATTTCCTTAACCCCTTCAGGGTCCAAGGCCAAAATCTGAAGTGGTACTCCAGTGTCTTAAGAAATTTTGAAAAAAAAAAAATTATTTTTTCTTACAGAATTAAAGAGTATATTTTTGTGAAGGTCATAAGACAAAAAAAAAAAAAATTCTGATCAGTACTTACCGAGATACAGTGCCGAGAAGTTTACCCCAAATGACGTGGTGGTGGCAACAGCGACGATTTCCACGTACACACATAACTTTGTTTACCGTTTTTTATAGTTTTTTTTTTCTTTTCTAACTTTTTTCTTTTCCTACTAACATTTGGGGCCTGAGAGACCAATACTGTATATAATGTATATACAGTGGACCCCCGGTTAACGATATTTTTTCACTCCAGAAGTATGTTCAGGTGCCAGTACTGACCGAATTTGTTCCCATAAGAAATATTGTGAAGTAGATTAGTCCATTTCAGACCCCCAAACATACACGTACAAACGCACTTACATACACTTACATAATTGGTCACATTTGGAGGTAATCGTTATGCGGGGGTCCACTGTATATAAACTCACTGTATTGAGCACAATAACTGCACTAAAGTTATTATCATATTGTTTACCACTGTTGTTTATTACAATAAACATGCACAAATCTTGTATAATACAGTGGAACCTCAAAAATCGAACTGCTCCCAACACAACCAATTATGTAAGTGTATTTTTGTAAGTGCTTTTATAAGTGTATTTTTGAGGGTCTGAAATGGACTAATCTAATTTACATTATTCCTGATGGGAATAAATTCATTCGGTAAAGGCACTCGAACAGCCTTCTGGACTGAAGAAAGTTCGATATTTGAGGTTCCACTGTACTAATGTTCTATCATATATTTACATATTTACAATCACTGGACATGGTTTTAGAACTGCTGGAGCTTGTGGAACTCCTTGAAACAAGGTACCATGCACAGAGGTACCTTACATTCCTCACACAAAAACCGAGTGTCTTTGCGTCTTTGTTGCCGTCGTTTTGTTCGTGCACAGACAATGCATCTCTTCTGAGCAAATTCCTTCTGAGTTGAAGGAAGCTGTATTATGAAATGATCACCTTCCCTCCTCAAACGCTTGGGTATATCCTGAGGAGTTAGAGGACCTTGTTGTATAGCAGGTGTTGTTACCTGGTACTTCATTATGAGTTGTCTGACAACAGACAAACAAAATTCACCAACTAGCAGGCAGTGCAATTTGCATCAAGTAGATAAATTATAGGGGATAAATTGAGAAAATCTTCCAGGGTTAATTGAGTGTGTGTGTGATGTTCAGATAAAGTGGGGCAGTTGAAGTGAGTGCAGTTGTAATGCAGCAACTTTTATATTGATTGTTTTTATTTGTTATAATATGAAAATGTCACTTATAAAATCAGTACATGTATACAGTATATTGCTCTACTTTTATGTATTACTGACAACATTGTACTTTATGGTTCTTGATGCTAGTGAAAGGTTCTTAATCCAGAGAATGGAAGCTTCCTTCTTTTTTCTTTGATTGAATCTGATGGCCTCCTGTCTCTTATTCCTCAAGTGCTGTATTAACCTCCTGGTTTAGTGCTCCCCACGAATACAATAATAATTGTTCCTTGAGTAAGTATTACATAATTTTTTTTATCCTACTTGTATCTGTTTTTCCTGTTCTTTATTATTTTAGTTACTATAGTATTTTCGAAGTTAATTCTTTTATCATAATTTAGCAGAGAAGATATGAAAATGTCTACTGTATTTACATATCCCTCAACTCCATTTCTAAACCATAAAATACTGAATTGCCTGTTTTTTTATTTTTTCAGAGTAATGAAGCAGGGACTATCAAATCTGCCATAAATGGGTTGCACAATATTTTTACATATCTTGTGAATGAAGAGGACATTAAGGTTCCACCTAAAAGACCTGGTAAAGACTCAAGTTTGTTCTTTCTTTCTTTCTTTCAACGCACCAGCCATATCCCACCGAGGCAGGGTGGCCCAAAAGGAAAAACGAAAGTTTCTCCTTTTTCATTTAATAATATATACAGGAGAAGGGGTTACTAGCCCCTTGCTCCTGGCATTTTAGTTGCCTCTTACAACACGCATGGCTTACGGAGGAAGAATTCTGTATTTAAAGAAAGAATATTAAGATTTATATTTAGTCCAATATATTTATATAATGTGGTTTGTTTTCTTCTTTAGTTTTTACTAATTAATGAATATACAGGAGGCCCTGCTGTACAGCACTTCGCTTTACAATGTTTTGCTAATACAGTGGTTTTCAATTATACCCATTCTTCATTTTACCTACAATAAATATATTCACCACTCATTATAAGCTAAGGATGAAAATATTTGAAGGTAAGTAATGTGTGTACTGTATATGCAGTTTTAAGGCCTATCTCTATTGCTCATTTAATATATGATAGTGTAAACATATGAAAAGTGGTGAAAAAAAAAAAGCTGTGTTTCACTTTACAGTGATTTTTGCTGTACAGCTGTATAAGTGGGGCTCACCTCTATCAATAATGCACAGGAGAATAAACCCCCAGTATATACACTAAGATATTAGAATGTAAATTGTAATTTGTATAATGGCTATATTATCATTTAGTTACACTGTAAAGTATCTGTATAATTTAGTGGTGTATTATTTGTGTTTAAATTTACTTTTGTGCACATACAGTTTATATGAGTTTAGACATATGAGAAACAAAGAAAAAATATATCAACAAAGAGATATACAGTACAGAATACTGTTCATCAATGTAAGACTAAGAGTGAGGATAGTCATCATGAAAAACAGGATGAGTTGTTATTGATGCAGTAATAAGGTTCTGCCTGTACTCTTGCATGACAAATTGTATAGGGAAGACAGATAAGAATGTGTGATCAAATAATGTTACTAATCCATTATAGGGAATACAATTACTGTATTGTACTGAATGTAAGTAAGATTTATAATACATTTAAATAATAGAAATGCAAAGCAAAAGGTTAAGCAGATGGATCTGTTGTTAAGAAGTAAACATGCTTGAGCAAATGCTCACCTCGTCCGTCACTCAGGGTCAGAAATAGGGAATATATAATATTTTATTTTCACTGTGTAAGAGAGTTACATAATTAAATTATGTTAGAGAGAAAAATTAGAGAAAATATTTTTAAAATATCAATTCATTACAAAGTCTTTTGATAATTAAAGGATAAAAATAAGGTGTTTATTATATTAATATGTTAATATTTGGGGCCATATTTTGTTTGGTGCTATGTGTGGATATATGGATTGCTGCATTACATGAAAAAAAAGTGTCAGGCATGAAACCTTCAAGAAGAATGACTTAATTTCTCTTAAACTAATTATTCCTTTGTGATACTATTTGCTCGAATTACAGGGACTAGAGGATTTATTCTATTTTGAGAAATTATAAATGGAAATTGAAATTTTGGTTATTTGATTTGCAGGCAGTGTTGAGAGTGCAAGTGACACATTTAATCGGTGGCTTTATCAAAGGTATGAGGAAACACACAAGAAATTGCTTATTCTAGTAGGACATAAAGGTAGGTTTCTGTTATGGTTTTTTTTTTGGTATTCAGCCTTACAGTGTTTAGACATGCTTCATCTCTGCAAAAATAAAAGGTTTATTGCATATTATATTTCTTAATTTTCTTGCATTGTCTTTGGCTTGTTCACTGATTTCATTCATTCTTCCATACCAGACTCATTCATGGTAATCTAATGCATGGGGTGTCCTGCTTTCCTATGTGCCTTTGAACATAGTAACTTTATCTTCAGGATTTTTTTTTTTCTGACTTTTTCTTCCTCTCTGAAAGCATCAGCATATTCTACTGTAAATTTAATAGTAGGTTCCATCAACATATTCTACTGTCATGCAACACTGAAGTGTCCTGTCAATTTTAGTGCTCATCATTAATTTTTGTTTTGAATTCTATGGAGAGTAAGTATGTCAAAAATGTCCATGCATAACATAACATTGTGCTCAATAGTAAATGTTATACTATAAAAGTATTATTAATTATTTATCTATTGTCTTAGATCAATCTGTACAGGAACTGGCACTCTGCTCAGTCATAAAATTCATACAGTCAGAAGGACGACATCCAGTAAAGAAAAGAAAAGATGTTGTCTACCAGTTCCCCCAACACATATTACAGGTAAAATTGAGAAATTTATGGGAGATACAAATACAAATACAGATTTTTATTTTCTTGCAAGATTACATTGAGATTATGTGATTACAATAATGAGTTGCAGTGCAGAGAGAGCCACTATCATGCCTTGGCATTATGGGCAAACTAAATTTAATAGCTTACAGACTACTAAATACTAGAGAAAATGATCGTAGTTTGTTTAAGTTGTACATACAATACAATTTTTATTTCTTTGCAAGTTTACATTGAGATTCTTTAGTTACAATAATGAGTTGTAGGCAAAGAGAGCCACTATCATTCCATGGCATTATGGGCAGACTAAATTAATAGCTTACAGACTACTTAAAACTAGAGAAATTGATCATAGTTTGTTTCAGTTGTATATCTGTTTTTATTTAAAGAAGACAAGAAGTTAACTCAAGTTAAAATCTGGGACAAATGTGGCATAATCATGAATATTTTAAAAATTAATAAGAGATTGAAGTTAGGAAGAATGTATGTACTGTATAGTGCTGAAACAGATTTTCAGAGAAGGTACAGCATATTGTAATTAATGAGGAGATCGAAAGGAGGTACAGTGGAACCCCGAATATCAGCTGTAATCTGTTCCAGAAGGTCAGCCTAAATTTGAAGCGATATTTCCCACAAGAATTAATGTAAATACAATTAGTCCGTTCCAGACACCCAAAAATATTAACAAAAAATACATTTTTTAAAGATTAATTATAGTTTTGCATACACTAAACAGTGAAAACTAAATAAAATAAATAATTGAACATTTAAATCACTATTACATACTTTTATTGAAGACTCTTGTTGGCTTATGGAAGACAGGGAGGAGGAGAGAGGGAGGACTGATTAGTGTTTGGAAGGGGAATCCCCCTCCATAAGGACTCCAGGCATCAAAGCCTTCTGTGGGGTTACTTCCCTCCCTGCCTGCTACACTCGCTGCATGCCTACTACAGTCCCTGCATGCCTGCTACAGTCCCTGCCTGCCTGCTACTCTCCCTGCCTCCCTTCCATGCTCCCTGTTTCCCTGCTACACTCCCTGTCTGCCTGCTACACTCCCTGCCTCCCTTCCATGCTCCCTGTTTCCCTGCTACACTCCCTGCATGCCTGCTACACTCCCTGCCTGCTTGCTACACTCCCTGCCTCCCTTCCACACTCCCTGTTTCCCTGCTACATTCCCTGCCTGCCTACTACACTCTTTGCCTGCCTTCCACACTCCCTTTTTCTTTGCTACACTCCATTCATGCCTACTACACTCCCTGCATGCCTGCTACACTCCCTGCATGCCTGCTACACTCCCTGCATGCCTGCTACACTCCCTGCCTTCCTTCCACACTCCCTGTTTCCTTGCTACACTCCCTGCCTCCCTGCTACACTCCCTCCCTCCATGCTACACTCCCTGCATGCCTACTACATTCCCTGCCTGCATACTACACTCCCTGCCTCTCTCCACATCTTCCAATGAGCCCAGGGTGGCTTATTTCACAGTCGCACTTAATAAACAAGCACAAAAACCAATGGATTTTAAGGAAATGTTTGGATGAATGCACGGAGTATATGCCCATTCACAGAGAGACACGGAGACTGACTTGCCTACGCTCGGCGGGAGGCAGGTTGACGCGTATAATACGGCTGATTTATGAGGCACTGGTCAAAATACGGAGCTAAATTTCTGCCCAAAAACTGGCCTAAATATGATTCAGTTGATAAACACAGTGGCCGATATTCGGGGTTTCACTGTATTGCATAATGCAAAAGTTACATGATAATATGTAAATAAGATGGACAGAAGCATAAATGAATATGAAGAATGAAATGGTTGCAACTTAAAAAATACTGAAAATATGTATTAGATGAGGACCTTTAAGGAAGAAAAGGGAAATAAATGTGTTCGTGAGAGAGGGGTTTATAGTTTTGGAATATGCCATCATGTACTGTATATGAATTGTGTTTACTCTTGAGGATGCCACCCTATACACAATATGCTGTGTGTAGGGTTTTCTGTATTGAACTGTTGTCTGAGGAGGGATCAGATTTGTTCAAAGCTTATGATATGTACTTTCTTGAATATTGACTTGTATAGAGCTTTGTTATCTCTCTCTAGACTCAGGAAGATATATTTTACTACCAAAAGTTATATTATTAATAGTTCAAATATTTCTTGTGTACAATTAGGACATGCTTAGGGCTTTTCATTTATAAGGTATTCTTGTGTGATTTGGTCAAAAATGTTGGCTACATCATAAAATTTGCCATACACTTGATTTCAACATAGGCCCTCATTATATTAGGAAAATCTGGTAAATTAGTTTCTATAGATTTTTTTTTTTTTTTTTTTTTTTTTTTTTTTTTTTTTTAGCTTTGGGAAATTACCTGTTGATTTGACAAAGTACATTAATATGTGTAGTAAATGAATTTGTGGGTTATATTTTTATTTTGCAAATAATTTCTCCATAGCCTTTGATGATGCGTCTCGTATCAAGTACCGTGGATAACCGACACTTGATAACTATGCTGTACGAGTATATGGAATGCCACGACTTCATGTTCTTTACTCTCCTGGTTTGTATGGTTTATATTTTATAGCTGTAATACATTGCACATGATTTGATAAAATGATGTAATTTAATCCTTAAACTGTCCAAATGCAGATCTACGTTCACTTGCGTGGCGCTACGAATATTTTGAAAAATAAACAGAATCCTTTTTTTTTTCTTTTAAAATGTAGAGCACATTTTTCTACATGTTATAGGATTAAAAAAAAAATTTAGGGTCAGTAGTTACCGAGATATAAGACTGAAGTTGGCTCTGGATGCTCACCTGACGGCAACATCAACTTCTGCTGCTTGCAGAAGTGTTGCCGATATACCTTTCTTCCTCGTTTTTATTTTAATTTATATATTTTTTATGTTCTGATAATTACCTTTACCGGGAAGTAGTCTCCCTCTCTTCTACACACCCTAACCTGAGGATAGTGAGGCTCAGGTTAGGGTGTGTAGAAGAGAGGGAGACTACTTCCCAGTAAAAGTAGGTCTTAGACAAGGATGTGTAATGTCACCATGGTTGTTTAATATATTTATAGATGGGGTTGTAAAAGAAGTAAATGCTAGGGTGTTCGGGAGAGGGGTTGGATTAAATTATGGGAAATCAAATACAAAATGGGAATTGACACATTTACTTTTTGCTGATGACACTGTGCTTATGGGATATTCTAAAGAAAAATTGCGAAGGTTAGTAGACGAGTTTGGGAGTGTGTGTAAAGGTAGAAAGTTGAAAGTGAACATAGAAAAGAGTAAGGTGATGAGGGTATCAAATGATTTAGATAAAGAAAAACTGGATATCAAATTGGGGAGGAGGAGTATGGAAGAAGTGAATGTTTTCAGATATTTGGGAGTTGACATGTCAGCGGATGGATTTATGAAGGATGAGGTTAATCATAGAATTGATGAGGGAAAAAAGGTGAGTGGTGCATTGAGGTATATGTGGAGACAAACAACGTTATCTATGGAGGCAAAGAAGGGAATGTATGAGAGTATATTAGTACCAACACTCTTATATGGGAGTGAAGCTTGGGTTGTAAATGCTGCAGCTAGGTGGTGGTTGGAGGCAGTGGAGATGTCCTGTCTAAGGGCAATGTGTGGTGTGAATATTATGCAGAAAATTTAGAGTGTGAAAATTAGGAGGTGTGGAGTTAATAAAAATATTAGTAAGAGGGCTGAAGAGGGGTTGTTGAGGTGGTTTGGTCATTTAGAGAGAATGGATCAAAGTAGAATAACATGGAGAGCGTATGAATCTAGGGGAAGGAAGGTGGGGTAGGGGTTGTCCTCGAAAAGGTTGGAGGGAGGGGGTAAAGGAGGTTTTGTGGGCGAGGGGCTTGGACTTCCAGCAAGCGTGCGTGAGCGTGTTAGATAGGAGTGAATGGAGACTAATGGTATTTGGGACCTGATGAGCTGTTGAAGTGTGAGCAGGTTAATATTTAGTGAAGGGATTCAGGGAAACCAGTTATTTTTATATAGCTGGACTTGAGTCCTGGAAATGGGAAGTACAATGCCTGCACTTTAAAGGAGGGGTTTGGGATATTGGCAGTTTGGAAGGATATGTTATGTATCTTTATACGTATATGCTTCTAAACTGTTGTATTCTGAGCACCTCTGCAAAAACAGTGATTATGTGTGAGTGAGGTGAAAGTGTTGAATGATGATGAAAGTATTTTCTTTTTGGGGATTTTCTTTCTTTTTTGGGTCACCCTGCCTCGGTGGGAGACGGCCGACTTGTTGAAAAAAAAATTACGGTTTATAATAGTTCTTGTAATTTCATAGCCAATCTTTGTTCGGACACTAATATTAGGTACTGAAATAGTGCTCAAATAGTCACAATCACATTGACAGGTGAATATTTACACCTACTTGGGTTATTTACTATTGTCTAGAATGGAGCGAAACAGAATGACTTCAAGAGTGTATCAGTCTGTAGTGGAAGGAAGGCGGGGTAGGGGTCGGCCTAGGAAAGGTTGGAGGGAGGGGGTAAAGGAGGTTTTGTGTGCGAGGGGCTTGGTCTTCCAGCAGGCATGTGTGAGCGTGTTTGATAGGAGTGAATGGAGACAAATGGTTTTTAATACTTGACGTGCTGTTGGAGTGTGAGCAAAGTAACATTTATGAAGGGATTCACGGAAACCGGCAGGCCAGACTTGAGTCCTGGAGATGGGAAGTACAGTGCCTGCACTCTGAAGGAGGGGTGTTAATGTTGCAGTTTAAAAACTGTAGTGTAAAGCACCCTTCTGGCAAGACAGTGGAGTGAATGATGGTGAAAGTTTTTCTTTTTCGGGCCACCCTGCCTTGGTGGGAATCGGCCAGTGTGTTAATAAAAAAAAAATAATAGAAATATATATAAAATATTTATAGGTCCCATGTTTTCATGAAAGGCATCCCTATACTGTTGACAGCCCAATGACATTTGATAAATACCCACTGCTCCAGCTAACCCTCTCTGTATATGTTATCACTGTTGCACACAAACATGTCTGTCTGTCTCTGTCTGCCCGTCTCTCTGTCTCTGCTTATATGTCTTTCTGTCTGCCTGGAGTATAGTATATCAGACTCCTTAAAGAATGGTGTTATGACATCTGTTATCAGCCCAGTGACATTTGATAAATGGGCACTTGGGGAACCCTGGCTTTACTTGTTTTCACTGATACATACAAGCATGTTTGTCTATCTGTTTGTCTGTCTGTCTATCTATTTATCTATCTGTCTATCTTTGCTTGGAATTTTTGGGTTATCCTAGTTTACACTATGTATAATAACTGTACCTATGTGTGCATGTGAGACAGAGATATAGATAGACAGAGATATAGACAGAGACAGCCAAAGCAAGCCAGCCTTCCGAATACATAAGAACATAAGAAAGAAGGAACACTGCAGCAGGCCTACTGGCCCATGCAAGGCAGGACCATGTCACCCTCTCCCCCCTCCCCAGCTTAGACCAATTACCCACCTAGTCAGGTCACATCCATTGAAGGAAGAAGCATGTGATCAGACCTAGTAGCACAAGCTCGTCAGGTCCAACTCACACCCACCCACACTCACCCATGTATTTATCTAACCCATTTTTACTTTCCTCTTAAAATGGGAGTGTTAATTAATGCAACATGGCATCAGTGAATCCTTGGTGTTTGCCACGCTATTTGCTCTAACTGCCGCTCAATTGAACTGGTGCTCCCAGAAGGTACTAAGTGCTCCCAGATTTTTTTTAATACTGCGCACAGAGTGCACAGACCCATTCTTTCATGTCTAGGCGACTCAAGCCTGTTGTGCCAAATTTGAAGGAATAAAAAATAAAATGTTGATCTACGTTTGGAGTGCTACATGTGCAAATGTAGATCTACGTTTGGACAGTTTAAGGGTTAATTCTCATTCATATTGATGCAAAGGCACCTACATACAGCAGTAATTGTTTCTTCTTTATGTTATAATTTATGCATGTTTTTAATTATATTCATGGAACAGTAGTCAGCAAAAAATATTTGTCATGCATAGATCAAATGGAAGTTATAATACAGTATGCAAATGGTGAATTATTGCAGAATAATTCAATTCTGTGCTTCTATTATGAAGTCTCCATCCCTAAAAGGGTGGCATTATGTACCGTAGATTTCTACCCTGACATTTTTATTACCCTCAAGTGTTTAAAATTTCTGAAAGAGTGGTTGCAGCATTGGACAGACAGTTGTACATGCTTGGCTATCACAAAAATAATCAGTTTCCACTTGTATTGATGAACACTTGTGTGGAGAGAATGAGGATTCATTCTCAAAAATCATATATATGTGAGAAAGTAAAAGGAAAGGAACTGAAAAAAATAGTAAGGCACAAATTAAAGGGAGTGGCACTGCATTGTTAGTGTGGTTATAAGTGACATTTTACTTAATATTTCCAGAGTACACAAATATTTTCATGATAATGCATATCTTAATTTTTGACATTACCCAAAATTATGTAGATTTTAATATGATGTGGGGTTGCTAAAAGTATTATTCAGAGGGCTGAGAAGGGGTTGTTGTGATGGTTTGGACATTTATGAGAGGATAGAGCAAATTAGAATAATTAGAAGGGTACGTGGATCTGGAGTGAAAAGGAAGGGTAGGGGCCATCCCAGAAAAGATTGGAGGTAAGGGGAGTAAAGGAGTCTTTGAGTGTTAATGGCATGGATATCCAATAGGCTTGTGAGAGTGCATTAGATAGGAGTGAATGGAGGTACAGTAAGTGATTTTTATGATTTGGCCTTCTATTGGAGTGTGAGCAAGGTAACATTTATGAAGGGATTCAGGGCAACCAGTTAGCTGGTCTTGAGTCTGGGGGTGGGTAGTACAGTGCCTGGAGGACTGTTTGTACTGTAATGTCAACATGCTTCTGGCAAGACAGTGATTGAATGAGTGACAGTGAATGTGTTTTACCTTTTTCAGGTTAAACCTTTCTTGGTGGGAGATGGCCAGTGTGCTAAAAATAACTGGGTTCTGTAGTGTTTATGGTAAACAGTTTTAGCTTTTCTAAAAGTTGGAAGTGATAGTCTAATTATTCTCTTATGAAGAAATTTTAATGTATTAATAACTGTAAGATAAATAATTAAGATGATAATCTGACTATATTTTTTATTTTTTCAGGTCTTAAGCACCATAGTAAAAATGCAAAAGGGTAAGGATGTCTCAGTGACATTCATGAACAATCTGTTCCCCTTGTTAGAACAGATCAATATACCAATGGAAAATGCTGCTAACCTTGCATACCCCAAACTTTTGCTTAAGCAACAAGATGGTAAGTCTTTATTCTAATCTAGAAGTGGAAGTTTCATGTTAATATGTAAAGTTGGTATCTTATTGATTATATACTGGTATAAAATTTTCAAGACATGGCAAGAATAATTGCTTGTAATTTTTAGCTCTGACAATTATTTGAATTATTTGAAGCTTTTCACACAATTGGTTAATTTTATAAGTTTATGAACAATTTACAGATGAAAATAATTTTCTTAGATAAATTTGTAGAAATTAAAAATGTGATAAAAAAAATTGAGAGCCCAGCTACATATTTCATAAAAGGTAGATAGACAGCTACAACAGATGACCACAATTGCAATTTATTAAATACATGGCAGTCCAGTATAGAGTTTAGTAAAAGATTTTTTTTTTCTTCAAAGGTAGTGAAACAGGTGAAGATGAAGAGCTGCCCATGTTCGTCATTCCATATGACAAGGCTAAAAGAGCCATTAATACCATCTGGCCAGAGGTGCTCAGATACCCTTTAACAAATGATCTTTATCGTCGTTGTCTGATCCTCATACCTGAGAAGGTGATGCATCACCTCGACAAACCCATTAATCTCACAGATTTCTTCATGGAATCCTATAATATTGGTTAGTAAAAGTAGAATAAATTGATTATGTGGAGTTTTATATTATTTGCTATTTTTATTTTTGCGTTTTTCCTGTTTAGTATTTGCTGGTACATTAGAAGTACAAAATGTATTTTAAATTTAGAAAATATGAGATGGAAAGGAAGTGTATGAGCTTCAAACAGCTAACTTCATGGGTGTGAGGTAAGCACTTTTACCACCAACATTAAAACTACTTCAACCAGAACCTCCACCAAATTACAGGATTGATATTTCTGGCCATTACCCCAGATTACAATTTATGGTACTTCCAGTGCCAACTTGTATACACAAACTACCACCTCAAATTTTTTTTTTTTTTTTTTCAACAAGTCGGTCGTCTCCCACCGAGGCAGGGTGACCCAAAAAAGAAAGAAAATCCCCAAAAAGAAAATACTTTCATCATCATTCAACACTTTCACCACACTCACACATTATCACTGCTTTTGCAGAGGTGCTCAGAATACAACAGTTTAGAAGCATATACGTATAAAGATACACAACATATCCCTCCAAACTGCCAATATCCCAAACCCCTCCTTTAAAGTGCAGGCATTGTACTTCCCATTTCCAGGACTTAAGTCCGACTATATGAAAATAACCGGTTTCCCTGAATCCCTTCACTAAATATTACCCTGCTCACACTCCAACAGATCGTCAGGTCCCAAGTATCATTCGTCTCCATTCACTCCTATCTAACACGCTCATGCACGCTTGCTGGAAGTCCAAGCCCCTCGCCCACAAAACCTCCTTTACCCCCTCTTTCCAACTCTTTCGAGGACGACCCCTACCCCTCTTTCCTTCTCCTATAGATTTATATGCTTTCCATGTCATTCTACTTTGATCCATTCTCTCTAAATGACCAAACCACCTCAACAACCCCTCTTCTGCCCTCTGACTAATGCTTTTATTAACTCCACACCTTTTCCTAATTTCCACTCTCCGAATTTTCTGCATAATATTTACACCACACATTGCCCTTAGACAGGACATCTCCACTGCCTCCAACCGTCTCCTTGCTGCTGCATTTACCACCCAAGCTTCACATCCATATAAGAGTGTTGGTACTACTATACTTTCATACATTCCCTTCTTTGCCTCCATAGATAACGTTTTTTGACTCCACATATACCTCAACGCACCACTCACCTTATTTCCCTCATCAATTCTATGATTAACCTCATCCTTCATAAATCCATCCGCCGACACGTCAACTCCCAAGTATCTGAAAACATTCACTTCTTCCATACTCCTCCTCCCCAATTTGATATCCAATTTTTCTTTATCTAAATCATTTGATACCCTCATCACCTTACTCTTTTCTATGTTCACTTTCAACTTTCTACCTTTACACACATTCTCAAACTCATCCACTAACCTTTGCAATTTTTCTTTAGAATCTCCCATAAGCACAGTATCATCAGCAAAAAGTAACTGTGTCAATTCCCATTTTGAATTTGATTCCCCATAATTTAATCCCACCCCTCTCCCGAACACCCTAGCATTTACTTCTTTTACAACCCCATCTATAAATATATTAAACAAACATGGTGACATTACACATCCCTGTCTAAGACCTACTTTTACCGGGAAGTATTCTCCCTCTCTTCTACACACCCTAACCTGAGCCTCACTACATTCATAAAAACATTCATGAAAATATAAAACTTCATTTAAAAACATTATATTACAGATTCAGCATAGAATATGTTTATTTTGACAGCCATCAAAACATGTAATTAGTGGTATATGAATTGTGAGTATGTAATAATTTTTGTCATATCATTAATCATATTTTAAAATAATATGGAGAAAATAGGTAAGCATGCAGAGATAAATAAAAACCAATATAAGTGATTAGTTATGTTCTTGGTACATTATTTACATTTTAAAGGTTTGCCTAGTAGTTACATATGCCTAGGTACTAAATTATGTAAAATTTGCTACAGAGCATCTTGATGACAAGGACAATAAAATAAATAAAAACACTGTAGTAATTCCCAATCTTTATTTATTGTACTGTAATATGTGTGTGTGTTTATTTATGTGAATTACTTCAACATTACCTATGCACATTATAGACATCATCATCTGCCAGCTTTCATATTGATAATTTATTTAAACCATTTTGCTTACTAAATACCCAGTACCTTTTTTTTTTTTTATGTATATATATAACATGTTGGCCATCTCCCACTGAGGCTGGGTGACCCAAGAAAGGAACATTTTCACCATCATCCACACATAATCGCTGTCTTTGCAGAGGCACTGAGATATGACAGGTTAGATGTTACTCCAAACAGCCAGTATTAGGTTCCAAAACACCATTTGTCTCCACTCCTATCAAACATGCTCACACATGCCTGCTGCATGTCTAGGCCCCTTGCACACTAAACCTCTTTAACCTCCTCCCTCCATCCTTTCCTAGGATGACCCCTTCCACTCTCAGTAATTTTACTCCATTGTGCAATGAATGCAATGGGTTTTTCCTCTGAAATAATAGAATTTATGACTGATACAGGAAGATCAATGGTATATTGATGAATTTTATTGCTATGTTGACCTTGCTAATTGTACTTGTTCAACCTATTTGCATGTATTGTATGTACCTTAGTGTAGTGTACTTATATTTTTAGTCATTATCTAAAATGCAATGACTATTTATTACATCTGTTCATCTATTTTCTTGCTGTTATATACACCAGAACAGTACTTTTATCAGTGGGTAACCTTATAATCTCCAGATGTTTCTATTTCAGGTGGAGCTATCAGTCTCTTGGCCCTTCAGGGAGTGTTCATCTTAGTACATAAACATAACTTGTAAGTTTCTGTTCTCCTCTTATAACTTTGAGATATTTAATTAATGCATCATATTAGGTAGTAGGTTGATAGACAGGAAGGTACAGCCTTCCTTCCAGATGAATGTGAAATGGAGGCCTGTAGCTGTTTTATGCAATGATAGAATCTCTGGTGTCTTCTTTCTGTCTCATAAGCATTCAAGATAACAGGTACGTATATCTTGCTGCTACGGCTTACACTTAGGTCACACTACACAGGTATGAACATGTACATGTATATACACCCCTCTGAGTTTCCTTCTATTTTCTTAAGAGGCGACTAAAATGCTGAGAACATAGGGCTGGTAACCTTTCTGTATAAATTACTAAATGTAAAAAGAAGTGTTTCTTCTTTTTTTGGGTCACCCTTCCTTGGTGGTAGGTGGCCAGTGTGTTAAAAGAATTAACGTTATATATAATGTCATGCATTATAAACCAAACTCAGCTTGTCCAACAATCTGAGCATCATCTTTCAATAAACTGGCCGTATCCCACCATGGCAGGGTGGCCCAAACAGAAAAATATGAATTTTCTTTTTTTTAATTTAGTAATTTATACAGAAGAGGCTACTAGCCCCTTGCTCCCGGCATTTTAGTTGCCTCTTATGGGATATGGCTTATGGAGGAAGAATTGTTTTCTACTTTCCCATGGAGATAAGGGGAAATGAACAAGAAGAACTATTAAGAAAATAGAATAAAACCCAGATGGGTGTAAATATATGTGTATACATACATGTGTAGTGTGACCTAAGTGTTAGCAGAAGTAGCAAGATATACCTGGTATCCCACATGTTTATGAGATGGGAAAAAAAACACCAGCAATCTTACCATCATATAAAACAATTACAGGTTTCCATTTCACACACACTTGGCAGGATGGTAGTACCTCCCTGGGTGGTTGCTGTCTACCAACATACTACCTAGGTGTGTCATCGTTGATAAATATAAATTTAGACTGACTTTAGAGTGGTTGGGTGGGGTTGTTATGTTATATATAACCTCAGCAAAGTTTGGTTACGCTGCTTGATCATATGTATAAAAACAAGATGAAATTAAAAATAATTTTTTTAACACAGCTAAGCTTTACTCATTAGGCAGGACATAGAGTGCAGGCCCAGTGATCCTTCAGACCCCAGTTAGGACCTTGCAGTGACTAAATATCAGTGTAGAAACTTGGTAGAAGTACAGTGATAATCTATTCTAGTTGAAATATCTTTTTCAAAATAGATTGAGATATTCTGAATTAGGGGGTGTCATTTGAATTGTGATGTCCATGCATTTCTGGTAAGACAATTATTGAATAAATGATGGTGATGGTGAATGCATTTCCTTCTTTAGATCACCATACCTTCGAAGGAAATGGAAGATGTGGTAAAAAAAATTAGTTACTTTTTATTTTCTCAGAGAGTATCCAGACTTCTACAAGAAACTGTATACTTTGCTTGAGCCAACTGTGTTCCATGCCAAATATAAACCAAGATTCTTCATGCTATGTGACCGTTTTCTTGCCTCATCGTAAGTACAGTAATAGTAAGCGTTTTGACTATTGTTTAACGTTTTCTTTGTAAAATTAGTGATAAAAGTATCAGAAATCATTGAGAGAAAACGAAGATACTATATATTTCTCTAGGAGGTGCTTAATAAGCCAGGTTGTTATGTCTTTGTGGGTCTGCAGGCCATAGGCAGCAATAACCTGGCTGATCAGGTGGCCATCATAGAGGCCTGACCTCAGGCATGTCTGTGAGAGTACCAAAACTCCTGAGACTCTTAACAAGTATGACACTGAAAATAGTTGTTTTAGTTGTAATACACAAATATGTTTTAATTATTTGGTTCACAGTAAGCCTTATTTGGTAAATTGTGGGCCCAATAGATTGTCATTCACTAGCCCACTGTGACTGGATTTAAAATGTAAAATTACCCTTAAGAGACAAACTGAATAGTCTGAGCACATATATAAGAGCTTTTATATTATCTTATTAGCCTTACACATATTTTTTCTACAGTTGTGGGGGGAGGGGATAGAAAGAATAAGAGTATTGCAAATAACTTTCGTACAGACATATTCCAGAGTACCTAGTTGCTGCCTTCATCAAGCGCCTGGCGCGGCTCTCCCTTGTAGCGCCAGCTTCGTCTCTTGTTCTCATTCTGAAGTTCATTGCAAACCTTCTCATTAGATTTCCAGGGCTGAAGAAGCTCATAGATAACCCAAATTCACAAGGTAAGAAATGTTGTTGGTTTTGTGTCTTATGTTCTGTCATAGAAGTAAAGGAGGAAAAGTGTAACGTTATAGGAGTAAAACCAAGAGCAAAATAAAGAACTTTGCACATGAATAGAAACCTTCAATATTTGTGGTAGTGTACATGGTGTGAGTTTTTATAAAGGATGCAGAACAAATTGTGCTATCTAGTCTGTTCATAAACTTATTGCATCATTGCTATTTTGAAGAATGAGCACCACCATTTATTCCTAGACATGGTTTGTGTTCTGTATACTATAGGGAACAATAATTAATGGAAAACTGAAATGATGGAATTTTTTTTGGGGGTGTAGGGACATGATGGACTACAGCCAGAGCTTTAATGCAGTCCCTTCAATGGCAGTGCTGTGATGCTTGTGAAAGGCTCTTGATCCAAATAACGAGTTATCCTCTTAGATCACATGTGATCCCTTCCATTTCCCTGGCTCTGTATGACCACTATGGGCTTATGAAAATCTATTTTGCTGATTGTTAGTGTTTTATATTCTACGTTATATCTCATGGAAATGCTGGTGATGATTCAATGATAGACTGTTTACATGTTAAGTTAGTTGTGAGAACATAACCTGTTAAGCTTTTTAATCTAAGAAGCACTCATAATTTTTGTGTCAATTATATAAAGAGCAAAAGGATGTAAGAATAATAATTCTGAATGAAATGCAGTGTGTTAAGGGGATTATTCACTGCTATGTTGGTTAAAAATTATTCACTGATTTCGTTGAAGATTTTCAGTAAGTACCAGGGTTATTGGATTATCTTAGATAATGTGTAACATTTTATTATGTTTTGAGAGAGAATATTTTTTTTACAATTACAGTACTTGTCTTCATAATTAGTTATCTTAGAGTATTACATTTCACTGTATTCTGAGAGATAGCATACTGTGTTTACATTTACTGTCTTCATAGTGGTTACTTGTAATATTTTATACACTGTAACATTTCATTATATTCAGAGAGAGGTCAGTGTAGACAAAAAATAGTGTCTTAAATTATGTATAAAATTTCATTGTGTCCTGAAAGAAAATTTTTTGTTTACTGTTAACCTGTCTTCATAATCTGTGTACATTTACCACTACCCAGTAATAGTATGATACAATATTCACTATGATAAGTGACAAAAAATATAATAGTACATACATATCTCTAGGTACACATGTTATTATGCCCCTTAATTTTGTTTATCATTCTCTTAATATGAAGTCATGCTAAATGTTAACCCTAAGTAATACTTAAGTAATAGTGTCTGATCTCTTTGTAGCCTTGGAGTCTGACCCATATGATGCCGATGAGCTTGACCCTGCCAAATGCCATGCCTCTGAAAGTAGCCTGTGGGAAATTGCCACCCTAAAGCAACATGTTCTGCCATATGTTTCAAGAGTTGCTGGGTTTATTGACAGAAATTTGCCAACAGTGGAATATAATATATCAGAATTTGTAGAAACATCTTATGAAGAGGTAATCTTATTATTTTTTGTTTTATCCTGGACCTAATGGTTAAAACTCCTGCTTTTAGTCTTTTTCTGGATTGTTTTTGAAAGCATGCCACATATGTTGATGAATTTTGTCTTCTTTTTTGCCCTCTTCAAAGGTTCAGCAAAATATCTATGTCAGTACTTTATTTAATATTCACTTTCTCTTTACCATACTAGCTGGATTTATTACTACATACAGTTTTGAATAAATAGCCTGTCTTTTGAATCATGGTACAGGCGGGGATTGAACTTGTGGCTAGCAAGTCGTAAAACTCCAGACTGGCACATTAACCATTGGGCCAGTTGGCACAGTGGCTAACGCATCAGTCTGGAGTTTTACGATTCACTAGCCTTGAGTTCAGTCCCCTCCTGTACTGTGGTTTGTTTGCAAAAATGTCATTACGATTTCATGAGTCAAACCTGTCTTTCATTGATGCATGTAAATAAATGTTCATTTAATATTGCTACACTGAAGGCAAAAAGCACTGCAGAAAATGCCGTAATTGACTTTTTGTGTTGGTGTGGCAAAATGGAAATTCAATTGCTGAAGTGTGCCTTAATTTATTACGTATTTATTTGTATATGGAATGTAACATTTATTTACTTTCTTTTATATTGTCATAATTTTTAAAACTAGAAATCTTTTCATTTATTTTATCTAATCTTCCATGTTTTCATTTTATTTGGCCCACCATTTGGTTATATGTATTCTCAGTTTTTTCAGAAGTTTATTTAACGTTAGTTGTTTCCTTTTTCAGATATTTGAGCGAGCATGCAAGATGACTGTACGAGAAACTGTGGCTACCACTTTTCATAAACCTCTGGGACTCTTCAATTATCATGATGATCAGATGTCTCAGTTCTGGAGTGTAGTGTGACCCATCTTAGTAATAAGTATTTTAAGTAATAAATTATGGATAATTATTTGATATTTTAATACAAATTAAATGGCAAGAAATTGTATTAATAAAACTTTTGGAAAATTACATGTTACTTATATACTTTTATGCCAGTTTGCTTGTCTTTAATATTACTTCTAATGAAACTTGACCTAACGAACAAAATTGGAATGTTATCCAACCCTGAGCAAAATTTTCTGATGAAGACTACTAGTATAGAGATCCTCATGTGAATATTCTCTCTTGGTTCCGGCTGTAATGATCTCGTTGAAGAAGAATGAAGAGAGTGCCCTTTTCACAACAGGTTTATAATGAGGTTGTTGGCATGTTGTCATATCTGCAAATTAATTTTAATGCAGGCAAATGGATCTTGATCCAAGGAATTGGAGCTCCCCCCCATTCCTTGGATTGGACCTGATTGCCAGTACCCAGGCAATATATGACCCTTATGGGTTTAATGCTGTCTCATGAATATAATAAATAATCAACTGAGCACTTAGATGGCATCTGCTTCATGAACGAGGTTCATCTGACACTTGTTTTCAGACTTCTTTTTTATGCAGACCTCTTCAGGGAAAGTGCCTTGATGCTGGTGAGGGACTCTTGATTTAGGGAATGGGATTTATCCTTTCCTTCCCTGAATCAAACCTGAATGCCTCTCACTCTTCAGGGTGCTATTTGACCCATATGAGTTTAGCTTGTCCACCTGAATAAATTTCTTTAATAGAAATGTTTCGGCACTAGGATGAGGGAAGTCTGGGAAGTGATGCTTATCAGGCTGCTAACAAAATGTCAGCTGCTGCACTGCCTTGGTTTAAAAGGTTATGATTTAGTGCTTTCTGCTGAATATGATAACATGAGTACATTCTTGTGAATATAATTATAACAGGAGATGATATAGTGCTGTCTTGTGAATATAGTTATATCATGATATAATTGTATCATGATATAATGTTTTCTTGTGAATATAATTATAACATGATATAGTTCTTTTTTGTGAATATAATGAGAGGCCATGAAGCTGCCACCTACTTGACAACAATATACATCGCCTAATTGGGTGTTGTCCGTTGCTTTAAAAGATTTAAAAATAAATACAAAATGGGAATTGTCAGTTACTTCTTTCTGATGATGCTGTGCTTATGGGAGATTCTAAAGAAAAATTGCAAAGGTTAGTGGACGAGTTTGGGAGTGTGTGTTAAGGTAGAAAGTTGAAAGTGAACATAGAAAAGAGTAAGGTGATGAGGGTATCAAATGATGTAGATAAAGAAAAATTGGATATCAAATTGGGGGAGGAGGAGTATGGAAGAAGTGAATGTTTTCAGATATTTGGGAGTTGACGTGTCAGCGGATGGATTTATGAAGGATGAGGTTAATCATAGAATTGATGAAGGAAAAAAGGCGAGTGGTGTGTTGAGGAATATGTGGAGACAAAAAACGTTATCCATGGAGGCAAAGAAGGGAATGCATGAAAGTATAGTAGTACCAACACTTATATGGGTGTGAAGCTTGGGTTGTAAATGCTGCAGCGAGGAGGCGGTTGGAGGCAGTGGAGATGTCCTGTCTTAGGGTAATGTGTGGTGTAAATATTATGCAGAAAATTCGGAGTGTGGAAATTAGGAGAAGGTGTGGAGTTAATAAAAGTATTGTCAGAGGGCTGAAGAGGGGTTGTTGAAGTGGTTTGGTCATTTAGAGAGAATGGATCAAAGTAGAATGACATGGAGAGCATATAAATCTGTAGGGGAAGGAAGGCGGGGTAGGGGTTGTCCTCGAAAAGGTTGGAGAGAGGGGGGTAAAGGAGGTTTTGTGGGCGAGGGGCTTGGACTTCCAGCAAGTGTGCGTGGGCGTGCTAGATAGGAGTGAATGGAGATGAATGGTATTTGGGACCTGGCGAGCTGTTGGAGTGTGAGCAGGGTAATATTTAGTGAAGGGATTCAGGGAAACCGGTTATTTTTATATAGCTGAACTCGAGTCCTGGAAATGGGAAGTACAATGCCTGCACTTTAAAGGAGGGGTTTGGGATATTGGCAGTTTGGAGGGATATGTTGTGTATCTTTATATGTATATGCTTTTAAACTGTTGTATTCTGAGCACCTCTGCAAAAACAGTGATTATGTGTGAGTGAGGTGAAAGTGTTGAATGATGAAAGTATTTTCTTTTTGGGGATTTTCTTTCTTTTTTGGGTCACCCTGCCTCGGTGGGAGACGGCCGACTTGTTGAAAAAAAAAAAAAACCCGTGGTTCAAGCAGTAACGTCTTTGGTTTACAACTGATATTCTGGGGCTCAAGCCCTGGACGAATGATGAGATTTTGTTTGGATTTTAAACCCTTGAAGGTAAGTCACCCAGGATATCCCATGAAAATCAGTGCATCTTTGAGGACTTCAGCCTTGTCCCCCAGGATGTGACCCCACACCAGTCAACTAACACCCAGGTATCTATTTGCTTGCTAGGTGAACGGGGAAAGCAGGTGTAAGGAAGCATGCCCAGTGGGTCACATTCCGGGGATAAAATTGACCTAATTTACCCAAAATGCTCTGCATAACAAGGGCTTTCTATATAGTGGTATGTCACTGATGTCAGCTAGGCCTATATACTTTGTATATGAACTTGTAGAAATAAAGATTATTATTATTATTTTTATAATGTTTTCACCTGGCCAGGTGAGGCGAAAGTGTTGCCTACCAGGCCGCGGGATGTTTTTATATACCTTACACCTGCCTTAAGTGGCAAAGATTCCTTACACAGCATTAACTTTAAAGTGTGCATGTTAATGGCCCTCTTCACCAGTTGACTGGTGCAGTTGGTAGTGCAGCTATTTTCTTGTAGAGCGATGCCTCTTTTATATAAAAATTGAAGCAGACGTCAACCACTTGGATTCCATCCTTCAAGTTGAGCTGTTTTTTATATATTCCTTGTTCTTTGTAGATGAATGGTTCAGAGAACCGACATGTTGATAAATTAGACACATGTGCAACTCTTGGGTATCTTTATTGAGGAAACGTTTCGCCACACAGTGGCTTCATCAGTCCATACAAAGGAGAATCTTGAAGAACAGGAGGAGAATGAGGTAATCAGTCCCTCAACCTTGAGTCGATGTGGTCAGTCCATCAATCAAGATTGATGGACTGACCACATCGACTCAAGGTTGAGGGACTGATTACCTCATTCTCCTCCTGTTCTTCAAGATTCTCCTTTGTATGGACTGATGAAGCCACTGTGTGGCGAAACGTTTCCTCAGTAAAGATACCCAAGAGTTGCACATGTGTCTAATTTATCAACATTCCTTGTTCTGAAATTTGGGAATGTGTCTTAAAGGGACATCTTAATTGCAAGCAATTCTCTGTCATCCATAAATGTGCTCTATTCCATGAGTGTCAGTTGTGACACAATCGTGTCAGAAGACAAACAAGATTGTACACAGTGTAGTCAGCTCCTCCTTTCGTGGATTCCCTCACAATAGCCTTCAAATGCAGTATAGAGCTTGTGAACTGGCCAAAATGTATGCCTTCAATGAGGGAGTCAACCACAGACAAAAATACGAAAAGAACTAATGAGCCACATTAACTAAAGGCAGACAGAGTGAGTGGCATCAGTCAGTGCACATCTCATTATGTTGCCATGCAGGAACACCAGCATGTATCTTGCACGTCACTACTGGCTGACGTCGGTTGGGTTACAAGTGCCTATGATATACACTTAGCTAAATGGAAACTTTGTAGAGAAACTGTTGTTTCACTGCAACATTGTGTGCAGACATACTAAAAAAATCATGAATTTAGAGACTACTCACCAAACCACGGGTGGGGTTTGAATCCGCAATCAGAGAGTCTCAAAATTCCAGACCGTTGTGTTAGCCACTGGGCCGGTGGCTAAAGCGACGGTCTGGAGTTTTGAGACTCTGACTGCGGGTTCAAACCCCACCCGTGGTATGGTTTGTTTGCAATCGTGTCATTACGATTTCATGAGATATGTCAAAGTATTTTACCCACCTGGAGTCTACCTGGAGGTTATTCTGGGGATCAACGCCCCCGTGGCCCAGTCCACAACCAGGCCTCCCGGTGGATCAAGGCCTGATCAACGAGGCTGTTTCTGCTGGCCGCACGCAGTCCAGCATACGAACCACAGCCCGGCTGATCCGGCACTGACTTTAGTATACTAAAGTCAGTATACTCTCAGCAAGTCAGGAAAAATACCCTGATGTCGCCTATCGTAAATAAATCATAACTAACTCGCCTAAATATGACTGTAACTTGGCTGTTAGATATTGTAAATATCTCGTTATCAAGGAATAAGATACAATGTATTTTTTTTGTGACAGCTCATCCCTGTCATCAACTCAACACTGTTGATGTCACGTCACAAATCTGTAAATTGTTTATTGCTTCTGTAACTTGATTAGTTATTAGACATGTTGGGACCCAGTCCCTGGACCCATTATGTACCTCTGAAGTCTTTCCACTAATACTCACAGGATGGGCATGAGGTAACTACCACCACCCACGGGATGGGCATGTTGTGACTACCACCACCCACTCCACAAAGGTTGCAGTAAAGCAATTGCAAAGAATTACAGACCAATAGCACTAATGCCCCACATCATAAAAATCTTTGAAAGGGTTCTGAGAAGCAAGATCGCCACCCACTTAGATACCCATCAGTTGCACAACCCAGGGCAGCATGGGTTTAGAGCAGGTCGCTCCTGCCTATCCCAACTACTGGACCACTATGACATGGTCTTGGATGCTCTGGAGGACAAACAAAATGATGTATTAGGCACAGACTTTGCGAAAGTCTTTGATAAGTGCGATCATGGTGTAACAGCACACAAAATGCGTGATAAAGGAATACATAACAGGAGGCTACACTGAAGAGCTCCGTTCCACAAGGTATAATACTCGCTCCCATCCTGTGAAGGACCTGGGAGTGATGATGTCAGAGAATCTCACTTTCAAAGATCACAATAATGTATCTACCACATTGGGGAGAGTTAGTGCTGGGGTGATGGGTGGAATGAAGTGGTGGTTGGATGGGTCGTAGGTAGTATTGGGGAATGGGTAGTTTGGGAAGCCTGATGGTGATGCTGATAGGTGGTAGTAGATGCAGGTTGAAGTGTAATGTCTCATCGGGCGGGTGGGGGGGGGGCGGGGGTGATGTATTTCTAACACTACTAGTAGGGGTAACACTCCTCTTGAGGAACCCTGCGATAGTTCTACTATCCAGTGCTTACCAAGTACTACTAACATCCACCCATTAGTAACTGTGGTTTACACTAGTGGTAGTACTGGTGATTAGTGCTGGTGGTAGTGGTGTTAGAGATGGTGTTAGTAATAGTGTTAGTGACGGTGGTTAGTGATAGGGGTTAGAAATAGTATTAGTGATGGTGGTTAGTAATAGTGTTAGTGATGGTGTTAGCGATGGTGTCAGTGATGGTGTTAGTGATGGTGTTAGCGATGGTGTTAGTGATGGTGTTAGTGATGGTGTTGGTGATGGTGTTAGTGATGGTGTTTGTAACAGTGTTAGTGGTGGTGTTAGTGATGGCGTTAGTGATGGTGTTAGTAATAGTGTTAGCGACGGTGTTAGTGATGGTGTTAGTAATAGTGTTAGTGATGGTGTTAGTGATGGTGTTAGTGATGGTGTTAGTGATGGTGTTAGTGATGGCGTTAGTGATGGCGTTAGTGATGGTGTTAGTGATGGTGTTTGTAATAGTGTTAGTGATGGTGTTAGTGATGGTGTTAGTGATGGCGTTAGTGATGGTGTTAGTAATAGTGTTAGTGACGGTGTTAGTGATGGTGTTAGTAATAGTGTTAGTGATGGTGTTAGTGATAGTGTTAGTGATGATGTTAGTGATGGTGTTAGTAATAGTGTTAGTGACGGTGGTTAGTGATGGTGTTAGTAATAGTGTTAGTAATAGTGTTAGTGATGGTGTTAGTGATGGTGTTAGTGATGGTGTTAGCGATGGTGTTAGTAATAGTGTTAGTAATAGTGTTAGTGATGGTGTTAGTGATGGTGTTAATGATGGTGTTAGTGATGGTGTTAGTAATAGTGTTAGTAATAGTGTTAGTGATGGTGTTAGTGATGGTGTTAGTGATGGTGTTAGTAATAGTGTTAGTGATGGTGTTAGTGATGGTGATAGTAATAGTGTTAGTGATGGTGTTAGTGATGGTGTTAGTGATGGAGTTAGTGATGATGTTAGTAATAGTGTTAGTGATGGTGTTAGTGATGGTGTTAGTGATGGTGTTAGTGATGGTGTTAGTAATAGTGTTAGTGATGGTGTTAGTGATGGTGTTAGTGATGGTGTTAGTGATGGTGTTAGTAATAGTGTTAGTAATAGTGTTAGTGATGGTGTTAATGACGGTGTTAGTGATGGTGTTAGTAATAGTGTTAGTGATGGTGTTAGTGATGGTGTTAGTAATAGTGTTAGTGATGGTGTTAGTGATGGTGGAAGGACCTTCCCAGCATGTTATCTTCCCGCCCCTCACTATGTCCGGTGCAAACACGTCATTAATCCCCAGTCACACACGCACACATACACACACACACACACTCACACACACACACACACACACACACACACACACACACACACACACACACACACACACACACACACACACACACACACACACACACACACACACAAACCTCATGCATCAACATGTTAGAGACACTACCAGGGAGAGGAGTGAGGATGATCCAGCAAGAATGGACCTAGTAATCACCTTGAGAAGTTCGGACATCGAAGATATCATGTATGAAAGGCCCCTAGGAGCTAGTGATCATGTGGTTCTGTGCTTTGATTACATAGTTGAGCTACAAGTGGAGAGAGTAGCAGGAATAGGACGGGAAAAACCAACCTACAAAAGGGGGAACTACACAGGCATGAGGAACTTTCTTCAAGACGTTCAGTGGGAGAGAGAACTGGCAGGAAAACCAATAAAAAAAATGCAAGGAGGCAGAGGAGAGGTTTGTTCTCAAGGGAAGCAGAAATAATGGGAAGACCAGAACGAGTCCTTGGGTCACCCAAAAGTTTAGGAAGGCAAAAGCTAAGTGCACTAGAGAATGGAAAAAGTATAGAAGACAAAGGACCCAGGAAAATAAAGAGATCAGCTGAAGAGCCAGAAACGAATATGCACAGATAAGAAGGGAGGCTCAGCGACAATACAAAAATGACATAGCATCAAAAGTCAAGTTTGACCCGAAGCTTTTGTATAGCCACATCAGGAGGAAAACAACAGTCAAAGACAGGTTATCAGGCTGAGGAGGCAAGGTGGGCAGTTCACAAAAAACGAGCAAGAAGTATGTGAGGAGCTCAACAGGAGATTTAAAGAAGTATTTACAGTGGAGACAGGAAGGACCCCAGGAAGTCAGAATAGGGAAGTACACCATCAAGTGATACACCAACACGTGCTGGAGGAAATACACACAACCGAGGAGGAGGTGAAGAAGCTGCTGTGTGAACTTGATACCTCAAGAAGGAGCAGAGATGCTGTGTGTGCCACTAACAAAAATCTTCAACACATCCATTGAAAATGGGCAACTACCTGAGGTATGGAAGATGGCATATGTAGTCTCAATATTTAAGAAAGGAGACAGACACGAGGCATTAAACTACAGACCTGTGTCACTGACGTGTATAGTATGCAAAGTCATGGAGATCATCAGGAGGAGAGTTGCTGAATACCTAGAAAGACACAAGCTTATAAACGACAACCAGCACGGTTTCTGAGAAGGTAAATCCCGTGCCACAAACCTCCTGGAGTTTTACGACAAAGTAACAGAAGAGAGGAGAGAGAGAGAGAGAGAGAGAGAGAGAGAGAGAGAGAGAGAGAGAGAGAGAGAGAGGATGTAGATTCATTTTCTTGGACTATAAGAGGGCTTGCGACACAGTTCCACACAGATTAGTGCAAAAACTAGAGGAGCAGGCAGGAATAACAGGAGAGGCAATGCAATGGATCAGGAAATACCTGACAAGGAGGAAACAACGAGTGATGGTACGTGACGAGGTGTCAGAGTGGGCGTATGCGACGAACGGGGTTCCACAAGGGTTAGTCCTAGGACCGGTGCTGTTTCTGGTATATGTGAATGACATGACGGAAGGGATAGATTCAAAGATGTCCCTGTTTGTAGACTACGTGAAGCTAATACAGAGAATTCAAGCAGACGGGATCAAGAAGGACTACAAAAGAATCTGGACAGGCTGCAAACCTGGTCTAACAAATGGTTCCTGGAGTTTAAACTCTACCAAGTGCAAAGCCATGAAGATTGAAGAATGTTAAGAAAGACCACAGCCGGAGTATGTACCAAGGACATCTCCCGAGGTGTACAGCAACCAAATAATTGCTGCAGCATATGGGCGCCTGGCAAACCTAAGAATAGCGTCTCGACACCTAAGCAGAGTCGTTCAAGACACTATACACCGTGTACGTCAGGCCCATGTTGGAGTATGCAGCACCAGTATGGAACCCACACCTGGTCAAGCACGTCAAAAAATTAGAGAAAATGCAAAGGTTTGTAACAAGACTAGTCCCAGAATTGAGGGGTGTGTATTACAAGGAGAGGTTAATATCGGTAATATTATCCCCAATCGTTAAAATTTCAGCATTGTGTGGCTCCTATCCTCCCAACGGGTTTAGCGCATTTTCCGAATGCTATACATTTAAATTTTTTTTCTCATATATAAAGTGATTTTTAACACAATGCAAGCACAGGATTTTGATTTCTTGTTTTAGTCTTTGTGGTGGTGGCACTGGTGGTGGCACTGGTGGTGGCACTGGTGGTGGCACTGGTGGTGGTGGGGTGGTGGTGTCACTGCTGGTGGTGGTATCACTGGTGGTGGTGGTGGTGGGGGTGGTGGCGTATGTGGTGGTGGCACTGGTGGTGGTGGTGGGGATAGTGGGGGTGGTGTCACTGGTGGTGGCACTGGTGGAGGGGATGGCACTAGTGGTGGCACTGATGGTGGTGGCACAGGTGGTGGTGGTGGCACTGGTGATGGTGACACAGGTGCTGGTGGCACTGGTGGTGGTGGTGGCACTAGTGCTTGTGGTGGTGATGATGGCACTGCTGGGGGGGTAGGAGATTGTGGTGGCACTGGTTGTGGTGGTGGCACTGGTTATAGTGGTGGTGATGGTGGCACTGGTTGTGATGGTGGCACTGGTTGTGAGGGTGGCACTGGTTGTGATGGTGGCACTGGTTGTGGTGATGGCACTGGTTGTGGTGGTGGTGATGATGGTGGCACTGGTGGTGGTGGTGGGAGATTGTGGTGGCACTGATGGTGGTGGTGGGAGATTGTGGTGGCACTGATGGTGGTGGTGGTAGTGCCTGCTTGTAGTGCCAGGGCTGGCCACGAGGGGGCAGCAGTGAAGGTGGCACCAATGACCCTATGCCATCACACTGTCACTGTATCAACCGTCCCTCACAACACCGCCAACCCGGCCGCCCAAATTACTAACTTTCGTCTTTTGTTTTTTGGCCGAGAGAAAAAAAATACCCGGAAAAATTGGTGCGAGTTGGAACAAGTGTTTTAGTGGCGAGTTACGAACCAGCTGTGATAACGTTAGTGGCGAGTTACGAACTAGGTGTGATAACGTTAGTGGCGAGTTACGAACTAGCTGTGATAACGTTAGTGGCAAGTTACGAACTAGCTGTGATAACGTTAGTGGCGAGTTACGAACCAGCTGTGATAACGTTAGTGGCGAGTTACGAACTAGGTGTGATAACGTTAGTGGCGAGTTACGAACTAGGTGTGATAACGTTAGTGGCGAGTTACGAACTAGGTGTGATAAGTAGTGGCGATTACGAAGTAGGTGTGATAACGTTAGTGGCGAGTTACGAACAGTGTGTACGTTAATGCAAGTTACGAACTAGGTGTGATAACGTTAGTGGCGAGTTACGAACTAGGTGTGATAACGTTAGTGGCGAGTTACGAACTAGGTGTGATAACGTTAATGACAAGTTACGAACTAGGTGTGATAACGTTACTGGCGAGTTACGAACTAGGTGTGATAACGTTAGTGGCAAGTTACGAACGAGCTGCTACAAAGTTTACACAAGTTACGAACAAGTTATAAGAAGTTAGGCTGCATTACAAGGTCACTGCCACGAAGTGTGAGATACGAACGAGTTACAGCATTACGAGCTACGCCCCCCCCCCTTCCCCTAGTGTTACAACCACGAACGAGTTACTGGAAAACTGCTGCGAGTTGCGGAAAATTAATGGAAGGCTTTCAGCAAGTTACGAAAGAGAGTTGTAACACTACAGAAATAGTTACTGTAAAGATTCCGTAACTAATTTCTGTAGAGATAAGGAGAAACGTCTCGATGTTTCGCCCTACACTAAATTTTTCTTTTTCTTTTTGAGTTATTAACGAGTTACTGCGGAGTTAAAACGAGACGTGAACCAATTACACGGAAAATGGTTACGAAAGAGAATGTTCAAGTTGCGGACGGGGTTGTTTGAGTCACGAACGAGTTTTTTTCGAATCACGAACGAGTTTTTTTTTTTTTAGTTACAAACGAGTATTTTATTTTTTGAGTCACGAACGAGTTTTTTTTTTTTAAGTCACGAACGAGTTTTTTTCGAGTCAAGAACGAGTTTTTTTCGAGTCAAGAACGAGTTTTTTTCGAGTTATGAACGATTTTTTTCGAATCACTAACGAGTTTTTCTAATCACGAACGAGCGCTTCCCCCAGTGTTTTCGAATCACGAACGAGTTTTTTCGAGTTACGAACACATTATTACATACATTCCCCCACTACCACCCATGATGACCGCCCCCCCCTCTCTTCATTCCCCTCTCCTCCCCTCCCATTAAGCGACTACCGCCAGCACCCTTACCCCTTCCCCTACCACGACCTTTTCACCACTCCCCCCCTCCCCCACCACCAACAACCAGTCCATCCTTCACCCCCTCCCTCCTCACTACCAACTACCTCAACTACGACCCCTTCCATCCTTTCCCCTTCTAGTTATTCTCTTTTATTCTCTCTAGTTATTCTCCCTAGTTATTTGCTCTAGTTATTCTCTCGTATTATCTCTTTAGTTATTCTTCCTAGTTATTCTCTCTAGCAATTTTCTCTAAGTATTCTCTCGTACACTCTCTCTAGTTATTCTTTCTCCTTAGCTATTTTCTACAGTTACTACAGAAAAATGGTTCTACAAGAACATAAATTTTAAAGGGGTGGACCGGTAAGCCAGCGGAAGGCCTCGGTCAGATGACCAAAACTCCAAAGGCGGGTCATCATCTGACTAAGATGACGAAACACTTGTCCTGTTTCCTGACTAACTTTACCTAACCTAATCTACAGTTACTCCCTCGTATTCTCTCTAGTTATTCTCTCGTGGTATTCTCGCTTATTCTGTCTAGTTATTCTCTCAGATTCTCTAATTCTCTTTAGCTATTCTCTCGTATTATCTCTAATTATTCTCTTTTTATCTTAGTTATTTTCTCCAGTTATTCTCATTTATTCTCCTAGTTTTTCTTTCTAGTTATTCTCATTAGTTATTCTCTCTAGTTACTTTCCTTAACTCTCCTTTATTCTTTCTAGGTATTCTCTTTAGTTATTCTCATAGTTATTCTCCTTAGTTATTCTCTCTCGTTATTCTCATAGTTATTCTTTCTAGTTATTCTCCTTAGTTATTCCCCCTAGTTATTCTCTCTAGTTATTCACCCTAGTTATTCTCTCTAGTTATTCTTAGTTATTCTTTCTAGTTATTCTCCTAGTTATTCTCTCTAGTTATTCTCCTTAGTTATTCTCTCTAATTATTCTCCTTAGTTATTCTCTCTAGTTATTCTTTCTAGTTATTCTCCTTAGTTATTCTCTCTAGTTATTCTCCTAGTTATTCTCCTTAGTTATTCTCTCTAGCTATTCTCTCTTAGTTATTCTCTCTTAGTTATTCTCTCTTAGTTTTTTCCTAGTTCTCTCTTAGTTATTCTCTCTTAGTTATTCTCCTTAGTTATTCTCTCTTAGTTATTCTCTCTTAGTTATTCTCTCTTAGTTATTCTCCTTAGTTATTCTCTCTTAGTTATTCTCTCATAGCTATTCTCTCTTAGTTGCTCTCCTTAGTTATTCTCTCTTAGTTATTGTCTCTTAGTTATTCTCCTTAGTTATTCTCTCTAGTTATTCTCCTTAGTTATTCTCTCTAGTTATTCTCCTTAGTTATTCTCTATTTGCCTTAATTATTCTCTCTAGTTATTCTCCTAGTTACTCTCTATAGCTATGCTCCTAGTTATTCTCCTTGTTATTTTCCTTGTTATTTTCTCCAGTTATTCTCTCAGTATCGTTCCTTGCACATTGAAAGCGCGTCACCGTTATTTATTTATTTTTTTTTTGAAAACCAGTTGGTGTCGAAAACTTCCAATAGTATTTATTTACCCATTAGTGAAGGAAAGATTATTTTTAAGCCTTGAGGTTTTTTTTTGCCTTTTTTTTCGAAAATTTCCAATTTTTTTTTTCAGAAAATCTCAGATTGCTTCGTTAGAATTAAATTAATCAGTATTCTGAATTACGTAGCAGTTAAGGACACTGTGGATGCGGTGACGATGCCAAGTGAATGTGTGATGGGTTAAGAGAAGTGTAGAAGTGGAAAATTGTTATACGGGACTCGAGTGTGTTAAACAGTAGACTGTCTACTGTGTGAGTATCCGTCAGAGGTGGACGAACATGAACAAGCAATACTCGCTCTTATTGCTGGCTGTCGTGGCGGCGATTTTCCTTCAGGATTCCCTGGCCAGAA